AGTAATTAACTGCTGGAACCACCTAGAGCTGGGCAAAGAACGAAAAATCTGTCGAATTTTGAAAATAAAATATTATCATTTCTGAATGCTGTATAACTTTGTTTGAAAGGTCACGCTCTATATGAGCATAGTATAGTTTTTCTTTTTTATTTCATGTGTGTTTGCAAAAAGCGAGCTAACTCGATAATGATCACAAGAAATAAAAGTTTCCGTATTAGAGGAGTTTTAAATTAGGCCATAATAAGCGTTAGCCCTTAAGATTAACACTGAACTCTGGCCGACTCCTTAAAGAGATAAAGCACTTCATTAATTCAAGGCTTGTCCATGCGCTAGACTTTATTTCCCACCAAAGCCAAGGGTACTATTTGTATGGCATTTACCACACACGGTAGTATGTATCTCAGTGAAAAAGTTTCCCGTCCTTATGGAAAAGATCGAGCACAGGGCTTTGGATCTTTAAAACTCAGTGAAAGATGAAACAGCCATGCATAACTGTCAACAGTGCTTCATGAAAGTTCTGCTCAGCAGTTGAAATGTTCTGCCTGCAGCGGTTCACATGCATACTACTTTGCTTAACATTGTCATTCCCCATACAATTCTGTTTCTTAAAAATTAACTTTTTTTCGCGTGCTCTTAGCCCATTTACCTTGAGACACTATAACAACATCACCATAGAGTTATAGCATACCGGGTTAGCATGTAATACTCTTTCAAGAATTCAGTCTCAATATCTCTCGACTGCAAAGCTCTACTTCACTCACTTATGCTTTTTATAAAACATACTTTTAGCTCCGATGTTTACTCATAGAAAATCCAAGATTTGAAAAGAAGTTATTTACTTTCAACGAAGCTATTTACTGTCATTTCGTCCGCCATTTTTCTACCGAGAGCATCTTAAAAAAACAATTTCATAATGTTGCTTTATGTCAGATTTTTATTTTAGATGAAAGTATCCATTAAAGAGTTGTTTGAGTTATCAAACTTAGTAATATGACCGTAACTTCTGTGGATGCTATTTAGTTTTAATTTAATTTATCAATGTTCAGGCTTGAAAAGAAATCCTCTCTAAAAAAATATCTCAAGACAGTATTTACTGAAAACATCATCAGGGCAAATCGCAAGAGTCTGTGCTCTGTGGCTTGATTTGCCAGGCTATAACTTTTGTACCTTTAAAGATTCTCTGCATCTAACTTGCTGCCTTGAATGACTATACAAAATTTGATCGTTAGAATAAACAAGTATTGAACATGACTAGCTCAGGTGAAGCTTACAACTTTGATGAGACTAACATATAATCTCTTGATTCGAGTATCCTTCTGTTCTCTGAAGAAATATGTTGCCTTTTTATATGATACATCAAGCAATTAAACTGAGAGCTCTTTACTAAGTTTTTAAAATCCTGGAAAATAATACAACTGAAACTTTAAATTGTGAAATTTTACATGGCAAAGGCTTGCGCTTTGGCATCGTCACAAGTCTTTCAGCAAGACTGAGATCATGCTTTATAAACTTCCTGTCCTGTGTCAAAGGTTTTCGAATCGTAAGGTTCGCTGATTCGAAAGAAAAACATTCGATTAATTTGTTATCATCTTGTTTAAATTGAATAAAACTAAAACAAATTTTTTGAGGGGTCAATCGGTTGTTTATTGGAAGGGGTTGTCGTGACTTTGTGTGCAATCTACATTACATAGAGAATCAGAGTCGATCCACGTGTTTGCTTTCGTTGCTTCAGGTGAAGGACAAAAAAAACTTCGAAATGGAAAGCCCTACTCTTTGAAATCATTCCTTGCTTTAAATTCTTTTAAAGTAAACATCAAATCTCTTTTTTATAATCTTAAACCCCGTCAAAGACAGCAAACTAAAGGCAGGAATAAACTACATCAACATTGTTTTTCATTTCGAGCAATGAGGTAGAAGTATTAGGGTTCACAAAACATTCTTCTTTGGCTCACTAGTCAGTGAATTTCTTGCCATTGTTATTTCTACTACTTAATATTTTTCCAATAGCTTACTCTAATCACTTCTCTTATTGCTGAGGGGAAAATACTGAAAACTGCAGTATATGTAGTAGAACATGACATCATTGCATGTTCGATAAGGCGCCGAAGACCTACAGTGTGAACAATTTTTATTTATTAAAATCGCAAGTATAGGAAAGTCATATGGATTCATTTCCTTACTCTTAATTTCAGCACTAACAGTAACAACTTCAAAGGCAAATGAGAAGTTTGACTGAATCGCTATTTTAAACTGAGTAGGTTCTAGTTCAGTTGGATAACAACGAATTGCGTAACAGAATTATTTAGTCAAACAGCAATTTATATGGCCAATGAGACTTTAGAAAAGAGTGATAACGCATCGAGTCGAGCGAGTGTTGTGATATGAGAGCATGAGCACCTGCAGAAAAATATCAGAACGAAAATTTTCTACAAAAATACTTCGAAGCAAGAGCATCGAGAGGCTGACCAATTAATTTAGTCAAATTACGTCAAAACATTTTGCTTTAGGGAACTTTCTACCGCTTTGATCTTTCAGTTATGCTAAAAATTCTGCCATTCTACAAAGCAGTCTCTCTAAATTTAAAGCTAATACAAGTCAATCGGTACTTGAAGTCTTTTTGCTCGATAGATCAGTGAATATTTTTAATGTCCTCAACGTTTGATCCTGCGGGAGATACAAGATTGAATTACCTTTCCATGCATAAGAGACCCTTCACAAGAAATATCGTCGGGTGAGGGATCATTTTCTTTCCACGAAACTAGACACCTGGCCACTTGTTAATCCAGTCGCTGTTCTATTTAATACGGTTTTACCTGTTTTCAATTTTTCAGTGAGTTATCATGTACTCGAAGCAATGAACAATTGCGGTTTCGTTCCCGCGCGCCGCGCCACGCATGTCTAAGTTGAAATTGCTAATGCTTCGATTTATGTGAAGTTTAATCCAATTTGCTTTAGTCGTTGTACGATTCAGCTAAACTTTGATGCGACAGAAACATTTCTTAGACTATGACTCTAATCGGCGTTGGATATTTGTTAGGGAGTTACGTCGAAACAAGTGCTATTATCTCATGAAAATTTAACAAAGACAATAAGAGATTCAAACCTTTCTGATCTCAGTGGACCGACAACCTTGACTCTTCTGTTGCACGTGTTTGTCGCATATGTCAAACGATTTGGATTGTTAGGAAGTTTTACATCGGATAAAAGATATGGTTTCGTTAATTTGCTCCACTGTTCATGGTTGTCAATGAAATTTGCTTAAAATTTAAGGTTGATTTTCCTTTCAGATGAAAAAGTTCAAGGGTCTTAGACACTCGTCTGGGTCAAAAACAAACTGTTGGGTTGTTTGAGTATTTTATTACAGATGAGATTTATTCCTGGTATCCTTTCTGAACAAACGCTTAAAATAATTTCACGTGTAATAGACAAAAGCTCGGAAAGACCATTGTTTGATTTTTCTGTTACGTAAGTTAAGAATGGGCAGATCTGCGATAAGGTGGCCATTAAGAAATCCCATGATACCACACGGGGTCAAATTTCGTCTGCTAACGTGGAGGATGAATCATACTAAAGTTGAATAACTCATTGGATAATGTCTCGATAGTGCCTTTGCTGTTTTTCGTGTGGAGATGTGGTTGATTTAAGTCAGATTTTGAAGACTTTCATTAATGGATAATATAAGAATACCATTACATGATGTAATACACCTGGTAAAACCTCTCAAAATCAGCTCGGTCTGAATTTAACCTAACAGCAAGACGCCATATTTATCATTGAAGAAATACTCTTTATTTATGGTTTCTAGAAAATTTCAATGCATTGCTGGCGACAGTCATCTTTATTTTTTTAATCTGGCAAAATCTCAAGAGTTGGAAAGGCTTTGTGATTCATTTCGTTGGATGATCCCTAAAAAATATTTGAGATAAGTTTCTTTGAGGAGAATGCCAAGAGAGACAGTTTTGAAACGTTTATTTTTCATTAGGGAATTGTTAAAATGAAGTCATATTTCATAACCACGAATCTTAAACTCGTCAAATGATCGTGGCTTGTAGTTCGTGTAACTAAACGTAACTACGGGAACCTTCTCGATCCTCTAGTACTTGAGATTTTTTCCGGGATAATGGCTGTTGGCCAAAATATACAGTAATAAGAATTAAAAGGGATTTATGAGAAAAAAATCCTGTAAATATGACAACCTTTTTGTTTATGTAAGAAACAAATTTTTTTGAGGCGGAATTATGCAATAGTCTGTGTTTCCATAATCTTGTTATCAATTAGAAAGAACCATTGTTTTAAATCTAAACCTACAGACGCGTCGGCTGTTAGCCTTTGCCTCCAAACCCTTGAGGGTCTTACAATTTTGGGAATGGGAGACGTGGAGGGGAGGGGGAGGGGGAGGGGGTTTGGCTCAAAGATTAGCGGATTTCTTCTATTTGTGACTCTGTAAGGTTGTCTTAAATGTCTTATGAGTACAAATTTCCATTTTTGTCTTGGCAAATCAGGTGGTTAGATCCCCCCCCCCCGCCCCTTCGACGCCCTTGCCTGTGTTACACTTTTCAGTACGGAAACTTGAGTGGAGAGCGCCTGTCCCTGGGAAAATGTCCCATGAAGGGTTAAGATAAATAAAAACATGATTAAATTAACCTGTCGGGTAATTGTCTGAAGTGGTGCAATGGAATACCCACAGATAACAAGGATCCACTTATCAAGAATTCTACAGTTTGTTAATTAAAGTGAACAACCAAAGAATTGTACGGTGACAACGCTTCAAGAAGGCTGATACACTTTTCTTTTATGAAATGCCTTGCTCTGAAAGAAGTCCGCGAGCAATTTGTATCCACATCGGTTTTACCAGATGCGAAGCCACCCGAACTTACTGATTAGTCACGGATTGATAAAGTCATATCTAATGGTGCACCTCAGCGGGCTCTTGTCTCAATGTACATCAAAGACTATTATTTCCTACGTTGACATTTCGGCTGAACAGATGGCTTTAATTAAATTAATCTATCTTGTATGGAGAAGTCAGCCTCAGAAACGTCACAAAGGGAACAAAGGTGGTTGAGCTGCTTTTCAATCGCTAGCTCTTAGTCTCCCTCTTGCAAGGCTTAGGCAAAGCACGCAATGATACCTGGGGTATCAGAGAAATATGGCCGAAGGAAATATTACAGGTTCGAACGCAGCTGCTGAGCCGCCGGGTATGAGGGCTGTTATGATCGGTTCTACTGGAGCTATCGGAGAACATTTGCTGGGAGAACTTTTAAGCTCTAAGGTTCGCCTCTGCGAGAATAATCCCTTTCAAACGATTATATCGTGATATTTTCAGTAGTTATTTCACAACTATTTGATCATGTCGTGACTCATTTATGTAATAAATGAACAATAATTTATTTTTAGTAACCTTACACTGTGTATGTTCAAAAGTTTAAAAATACCGTCATTGTTATTTTTTTTTTACCATTTTTCTTTTGCTATAATGCAATCTTTGAGCTCTCAGTGCATGAAAATATTTATTTTATTTTATTTTTATTTTCGAATATTTAGAAGTCTAATCGTTGGTAATCTCAATCTTTGAATAAGTCGATTTAATTTCAGAGTGTATTTGGAATGCTTTAAAATCACGGAAGGTAAATGATAAGCTGAATATTTCTTGTCATTTCTTTGTTTGCCTTTTTTGTTGTTGAATGCATTAGTACAACAGTCAAAGTAATTTAAAAATACTATTGATTAAAGATTGATTTTAATTTGTAAACTCGGCAGGCTATCATTGAAAAGTTTATTTTAAATAAGTATGGGAGAGTTTGATTTGATTTTATAACCTTTTAAAAGAGTTGGCAACAACATGTACATGTACTGATAATCATGTGATAAATTAAAAACCATGTATATTGTGTGTTTTAAAAATTGCTTGATTATAAACCATTCCAGAATATATCCAAAGTTGTTTCTTTGGGTCGGAGAAATGCCACAGTCCCTGCAGAATATTCTGTGGATCAAAAAGCTGAAGAGGAATCTGGAAGACTGGAGCAACATGTCATAGGTAAAATATATTCTAAAATCACATATTTTAATATTTTTCATGTTAGAAATTCAAGCACTGTTGTTATTGAGTGGTTCCCAAAGTTGCAATTTTTTATATCGTATGCCAACCTGAAACAAATTATCAATCTCTAACTTCAGACTTTGAGAAATTAAGCACTGAAACAGTTGGTGAACATTTTAAGGACAAAGATGTCTTCTTTTGTACTCTGGGCACAACTCGACGAGCTGCAGGATCTGCTGTAAGTATTCTGGGTTATGGTCTCAGATCTAGTGGATGAAATATACTGGTACCTCTTTCTAACTAAGTTCAAGTTTGTATTGTAAGTTACAGACCAAGTTTTTTCTGCTCTGATTTTATGGCCCATCCATGAAGGGCATAGACCTTTAATTCCTGCAGAAAAAAACAACATAGCATAATTTATGGTATGGATCAAGAAAATGAGGTTAGTACGATATTTATTATATCTCTGGGGCCATTCTGGGGAATTTAGGGACCATAAAGTGAATTGGCTATGACCAATTACTATGCACGTACAAACTCAGAGATATAATAAGTGCATTTGACAGAGTGTAAAATCAATATGAACCTGTCGTTGAATAGAGAGAAATTTCAGAAAAATTTTCAAACTATGACCAACCTGTAGGTTGGAGAGATTAATCTGTGTCACATGCAGGAACAGTCCTATTCTACAGATTATGTTGGTTGGAAGTTCCCAATCATTCTTCCGGTCAGTTTTCTTAATGAAGTAACTTAAATCATTTAATTCATAGAAAGGTTTCTTTTTCTTTATTTGTACTTATAGGCTGCGTTTAAACATGTGGACTTTGACTATGTGGTTAACTGTGCAAAAATTGCTAAAGAGGCAGATGTCCCTCAGGTGTCCTTAGTATCTTCTCAAGGTGCATCAGCTTCAAGTTCTTTCCTCTACCTGAAAACAAAAGGCCAGGTATGTTTTTGATAACTGTTGTCTTCTCCTGAGATATTCACTTCTTCACCTCACTCTGTCATGCATACAAAAATAAATCAGAAGAGAACCTGAATTGACACCACCCAAGCACTACAAACTTCCTTTGTTAATCTGTGCAATAACAGTAACATTTGGGCCGGAGTGATAACTGTTTTTTGAAACTGTTTTCAGGTGGAGAATGCATTGAAGGACATGCAGTTTCCAAGCACAAGCATTTTTAGACCTGGTTTTCTTGACCGAGGGAGCAAACAGAGATTTGTAGAGAAGATGGCAAGTAAGTGAGCAGGTTATATTCAACTTGGGTTACTTTCATCTGCACTACCCCTTAACCATGGAGAATGAAGGAAATGATCACCAACTAAAGAAGCTCTTGATTGTTGGTTAAATTCTCCTTGTAAGCAATTTAAGAAATGTATGGAAAACAGTATGAAGAATATGCATTCTAATGTTAGGGTGTAAAGAGTTAAATGAGTGCTGCTTCACTGTGAACAATACCTGATGAAACTGTGTGGGTAACCTGACAGGCAATACACTGAGGCATTCCATGCAAGGAGTAGCAATACTCTTCATCATCATTGTCATTTTTGTGTCCATTCCTAATGGGGAGAATGGGGCCACAGGATTACTCTTAGTCACCTCAATCCACAAAGGCTAGATGCCCTGCAGCTTCATAGGTCTCTTGGCTCATCAGCCTACTAAGGCCTTGTTCTCGTGTTTTTTGTCCTTTGTACTCTTTGTCCTTTGCACTCTTTGTCCTTTGTACTCCTAACCCTTTAACTCTCAGAATTGATTAACATTTAACTTCTCCCATTAATATCCACACATTATCCAGCAAACAGGTAATGAGATTTAATCAAACTTATCAGGCAGAAGTTGTTACCTTAATCTAATCTTATTGCTCACATCTGATTTACAAGAAATGTGTAGCAGTTAAAAAGGAGAGTTCATCATCAGATTTTGGGAGTAATAGGGTTAGAGAATTTGACCCTAATTTCATCTCTTATCCCAACAATGATTTTTGTCTTCTGTTATTAGAACTGGTGATGACATCCATACCTGTGGCAACAGTTGCCAAAGCAATGGTAACAGATGCAGAGAACTATATGAAAAGCAAAGAGAGTGGTGGTGATCTGCAAAGCACACCTTCATCTGTCACTTACGAAAATGCAGAAATATTAGCCCTTTTGTCAGCAAATTGAAGGGACCTTCAAAAGTAATTTCAATTCTTAAGTAATTCAAGAATTTACTGCTGCACAGCTTTTACTTTCAATAACAATTGTCTTGTAAACAATGAAATTATTTGTATAATAACATTTTGTCAGGTCAGAGATATTGGCATCTAATTTCTCAATACAGTATCAACCCTGAATCACACAGTAAAGTCATGAGAATTAAGGAAACAATCACCAACTGAAGAGGCTCTCGATTGTTGTACTAATGCCTTAGGAAATGTATATAGAACAGCATTAAAAAAATATGCACATTGATGTTAAAGAATAACAGTCAGGTCCAAAAATGAGACTTGTCAGCATTGCATCAGAAAACCAAAGGATGTTTATAGAACTTCATTGTGAGCCTTCTTTCTGATTATCAGTAAATATATAAGTCTGGAGAAAAAGCTTATCTTGAGATAGTTAATAATTCAACTGCATCAACTGCAGTTGAAAACAGATATCATTGTTTTCTTATTATTTCTATTATTAAATTGAGTGTGTCTTTGACAATAATTTTGACACAGCATAGAAAGACAAAAACCAACAACAACAACTAATGGGAACACGTACAGTTTCTCAACAAACTTCATCTTTATTATGTGCACTAAAAATTATATATTTACAGCAACCGTCGAGAAGAACTCTACATTCATATTTATATTTTCTTTTCCATACTTTCCAGAGGGAACTGATTAAAGTGGATATTTCTAAATATTTTCATCAGTTCTAAGTTGTATGTGTATTTGAAACAACTGGTACTATGCATAGCAACAGATAATAAAGATATACAGTATGTTTTCATGTCACAAATAGCACATGCAGGGGGGAATGTACAGTTTATAGTGTACACAAGAACTGCTTCATCCATATATTTTGCAAAGGTAAGTGAACTCACCATTACTCTGCAGTTTAACACAGTTAAACTTCTACCTCAAAACATTTTGTTCTATAAAAATTTATCTGAACTGATGCATGATATCAATCCTGCTTCAGTACCAATAAACAGAAAATTCCTTTCTTGACATACAATGGATCATTCCAAAGGAAAAATTTCTGAAGTAGTTATTGGCACCTACAGAGGTCTTTCCATATTTAAGTCTACACAAAGCCATTTTCCTCTTTCCAATTCTATCATTTCTAATAACAATTTTTTTTATTTCAAAACAATGAGTTGTTTCTCACTAGCACTTCAGTTATTTCAGTGGATTCATCTTAAATAAAATACAATGCATGCCACATGCACAGTACATGTATATCAAGGTGACAGCCATCTCTATTCATTTTAATAAATAAAATATATCAGAGTAGGTTTAAAGAGTATCAGTCAGAATATTTGAAATAGAATTTCAAGAGGTGTGTTGAGTCAAACCCAAACCACTCTCTCTTACAAAAGTCCATAATGCAGCCTAAAAAAGCAGAAAACTGATATTATTCTCCATCTTTCTGAGATGACAAGCACATGCAAACCATGAAGTTTCTGCCTCTGTTATGGACACTCTCTGCATGTCAATAAAAGACAAATTAAATGTATGATGTGTTGGAATCTTGACAAAAATTATATTTTGGGACAACATCTGCTATTCTTTCATCAGTTTGGGGTAATGTATCTGCCTCCTTAATCACTACTGAATGGCCAACTCCAGGTACTTCCCTCCGAATTGAATAAATATTAGGTACAGGACGATCCATTGACCCACTCCACATTTTATTGCAAATTTTCCTGTGCATCCATCCATAATTATATTGTTTCGCTTTCAACTTGTTTCTGAACCTTCTGATAAAACACGCTATCCAGTTGCCGTTGTCTTAACCATACCGCAGACGATGAAACTATTAACATGACAAACACAATGCCCTACAGATAGATCAGAACAGTAACATTCACATAAAGAGAATCAATGTTGCAACAAATTGCATAATTTATCGCTAAAGAATTGGATCACTGGAACGTGAATTTTAGGTACACTTGTTAATGCAAGCAGCATTTAGTTATCTATGCCATAATCTCTTTGCTTATGTGGAATGCAAATTGGTTACCCCACGCCAACATTCTCAAATTTCACAAGTTGTGAAACATGACCTTACACAGGTTCATTGATTATTATCTACAAAATAATAAAAATTGTTTCCAAAAGTAAGCAACTATTAACATCTCTAGTCCTGGCCCCAAATGAAAGTGAAATAATTTCACTGAATGAATGTGACTGTATTCTTATCACTGAGTTTGAGATATCCATGTAAAATTTATTGAAAAGCAACTAAAAACCGTGTTTATGATGTGTATGTGAAATACTGCTGGAGCCATTACCTGAAACATCCAGAATTTTTTTTCCTCCCATTGTGCAATATGTCTACAGCTAAAGAAAAAAAAGATGGTTTGTTGAGTTCTTCCACCAGAAAAACTGCTACTCTTCAATGGTTTCAAACCCACCTTCCATAGAATTTTATATTAGAGGTAACACAGTATGTAAGTTGTATATTCCCAGTTTGTAGACAGCCTTTAATGCTTTTCTGTGGAAAGAAAAGAGACAAACAGACACATTTTACAAGTTTCCCATATTGCAAGTTGGTACTGTAAGGCTCCAGGTCATTCTCTCTCTGTTGTACTAAAAATAAGTTTCTATGTTTTATATACAAATTACTAGAAGAACAATGATATTGCTTAAGCATCATAATGATTAAAACTAGCTATTTAAAAATTTAGATAATAAATATTTCTTCAAATTAAACTTGCATAAGCTTACACTGGGACTAGACTGGATATTAGAAGGAACATTGTTACTGACTCCTGCTTCATGATGTATGAAGGACTGTTGAGCAAGTGAGGTGCAGCATTTGGGTAAGCTTAAGCTGTCTTTGTTCCTAGCATTATATCTATGCACCTTAGAACGAATATGATAAAGCTCAGTTTAATACTGGGGAGCTAAGTTATTCCTGATATTAAACATTGTAGCCACCCTGATGAAGAGAAGGTCAGGTATGGGAAGAAGCTTATTATAAGCTGTTTCGTCATTGGAGTAAAACAATCAAACTTCCTTTTGCTGCATATGAGACAGCCCACAAAGTTTTAAAATTGTTGCAATTTATCAATGTTTAATTTTTCCTGACCATACTGTAGAACAATTATGGTTAGTTACAGTTAATAAAGTTGATTAATCAAAAAGGTGCTTTATCCTACCTACCACTAGATAAGAAGATTATATGTGACTTTTGTTTTAGTTTTTAAAATCTCTCAGTTACATAGGTTATCATGATTGGTAAATTTAGCAATTGATATCGCACAGTATGGTCTGTTAACATCAAAAGTTTGTTTGCATTGAAATCTTCCAACTTGACCCAGAGATAATAAATATCTTTCTAACCTGGTTTTCTTGGTCTGTACTTAACCCTTTAACTCCCAGAAATGATTAACATGTAACATCTCCCCTAAATGTCCATGCATTCTCCAACAAACAGGTAATGAGAATAAACAAAATAATTGAGCAGAGCTTATCTTGATCTAACACCAAATTCTAATAACTAATTGACAAGGTAATGTGCAGTACCAAGAGGGAAGAATTAGCAATCAGATCTTAGAGGTTGAAGGGTTAAGTTACAAAATTTTTTTGCGCTTCCTACTTGGGCTGTAAACCTGAGTGGAAAAAACTTGGTCCATGACTTACAGTACAGACATTGACCTAGGTAAGTACAGGTAAAGGGTATGTATATAGAGATTGTTTTACTCTTTATTTTGGGTTATGATTAATGACTAAAAAGATTTATCAAGGGTTTTTTTGGGATATGATCAATGACTAGAAACTTCTTGCCAGCTTTCTTTTGAGTACTTATTAATTCTTCAGTTTTCTTGTTAAAAAAAAATGCTTCCTTTCCCCTGAGGGGTGCAAAGAATGTAAAGGACATAGCAACGAAAGAGTGGGTCAGAGAAACAAGTTAAGTATTCCACCATGAACATGAGAACCATCTAAAGGAATATTTTGACCAAATTTGCCAATCAGAGCTGTGAAATTCCACCCAATCATAGCTGAACAGACAGTTGATAAGTTGAGGCAAATTCATTCCATCTTATTGTCTAAAGAAAACTCCCATCATGCATAATGTCACAATGTCATAATGTTATGATCCACATCTTAAGTGACTACATTATGAGACAAATGATTTTAATTCACATGTTCAGCATATTCACCACAATGAACAGTCCTGTAGAGAAGTTGTTGGTTACTGATGGCATAGATCTTGGGCATTGCAAAAGATTTACCTTCTCATAATCACTGCAATGAACACATTCAGCAAGCCTTTGAGTTTCCTCAGTCTTCCTACAGTCTGAATTTGGAATCATCTTTGCATTCTCTGCACACAACAAGGAGAGAACAATATGTCAACATGTTGTTTCAGCTCTCATAAAAAATAAACAAGTTCCAAATCATTCTTAAAGAAATTTATGTTTTTGTGGAGAGTAATGTGAGTCACTAATTCTGTCATTAAGAAATGCACAATTATTACTGTGATTAAGCATAATAAATTAAACTGGATTATAAAAGCATTTAAATCAGTTCTTACTTATAATCTAGCAGAGGACAGACTTATAAATGGCATCAACAATATCAACTTTTGCCTCTTTATTATATAAAACATATATTCCATGTAGCTATGTGTCTGTTCAGTTGTATACACCGTAGATCACTGAAGACCTCAAAATGTGCTACAAACATCAATGTTCCTGCCACACTTGAAACTATTAGTATAATTACAGTAACTATGAACCATCGATTGACAGACGCATGGAAACAAAAAATTTACATCATTTGTTAGTACATAGAATAGAATGTTGACACGTCAACGTTTGCACATGTTTGCTTGAGAATTAAAATGGCGAAGTAAACTTGCTGGACCCACATTCGCATTTATCACTTCAACATCTACCGCTAAGTTAAATATTGTTTTGAAAATTTCCTCGAGTAATTTTTTGGCACGCGAATACAGTTTAATGTAAAGTGAATAAAAAACTACGAATATGTCAATTCGTATCATCCAACCGACAGAACTTACCCACAGAACTTGTGTTTATAGTTTCTGGACCAGCTGAGGTGGATACCTTATCGATAACAATGGATTTTCCCTGATTTTCTTGTGCTTTACCACGTTTGGACCTTTTCCTGAACTGTATGCTACGGCGGCAAGGGAAACTCGAATACGTATTCAAAACTAATTTTTAATTTTTGAACATAACCCTCCATAGCTTACCTGAAATTTGCTACAAGCAGTAAAACTACAAGGCTAAATCCTACAGCAGCCAGCCGCCATTGCTTCATTTTCGTTGCCTCGGTTTTATGCATGACCATGTGGTATCCAGACCCCCATTTGCTATTTTTTCCCATGATGTAACTTCTTCCACGTTGGATGAAATGTATGTACCATTTTGCTGTGGCTCGTAAACTACAAAAATACCGAATTTACTTGAATAAGCGCCCACGCTCTAATAAGCACCCTCCCCCAAATAAGCTTCCACCCCCAAGACCAAAATTTCAAACAAGCGCCCCTTCGAATAATCTAATTGCCTTAGGATCAAAAGTATCGCTTTCTGTCGAAAGCTGATAGTCGACTCCAAAAATGAACACAAATTAATATAGGAAGAGGTAAGGCTCCTAACATCAGATCAGCAAAGGGCCATGCTTATAACTAGAGAGAAACCTTTTTTCCGAAGTGTTTTTATGTATTTGTGGGATTGTCTTTGTGATGTGGAGACGTAAGGACAACAAAAACGAATTTCAAGAGATCACGGATGCAACTTTTCATGTTGCCTTACTAATAGATTACTGAAGCAAGCGGTAAATTAAGTAGTGTTTCAAGAACTGAAATATATGGGGCAAGGACAATATGAGGTTTCAGTAGCGCTGTTTCCAAAAAATATCCAGATATTTGTGGAATGGCCAAATTGAACGCTCGTTTGATCAAATAAAATCTATTTCCTGCAGCCGCACTGCCGTCGAGTGGCGTTTATAAATGTATGTAGACCTCAAATTGGACAGATCATAAAGCTAGCCGAAAACTGATAATTTTAGGACAACATTTTTTTTAATGGTATCATATTATACTAATATAACTTGAGACAGGTGAGACTACATCTTCATGCGGAGTCATTTTCAGACTTGAAAGTGTAATTATTTTTAGTGGTTAAAAGGCCAATGCGTGACGTGAAATCTGTCAAACGATATAAAGGTTGTATATAATAAAAAGGTGGGCACAAAATTGATCGATATGAACGATTAAGTAGCACATGAATAAGGACCGATGAACGCATTTTATGTCCACGACATATGTTTAATCATGTCATTTTCCTGCCAAACAATTCATATTATCGAAGAACAGGTGGATTTATAATGGTGGAGTAAGACTGACAGCTGAGGACAACTTGCGTCAGAGGGATCATGGCAAGTCAGTCCATCGTGAATTTCTCCTTTTAAAATTATATGCGCTTAATTTTTGGGTCATCTTGATGGATATAAAATATTGGGCGTCTCGAGTGTACTATCTCTTAATTTCCCTATATCCACATCGATCTTAGAGGTGACAGGAAGTTCTTGTCACTTATGTCTTCCTCAAAACCAGCAACTCACCCATTTCGCATTTTTCCTGTAAACAATAAACTCGTATGTCGTTTTTCTCTAAGTCAGTATAATGTTAAACTCAGGTACCTTTTTTGGCGCCCAATTTTTCCCGAATACTGTTATGCAGCTTAATTGCAAATATGTTAATTCTGTCAGACGCTGTGCTGTTTCATCATTGGAATCATAATTTAAATTCAAATTTTAATTTTTTGTGTCTTTTCTGTATCACCACGTTCAATTGTTAAGGATCTAGTTGATTCCAGTTCATATCCGAACGAGTATTAATTAATTTTTTCAAGGCAGGATATCATACTCAGATTTATTATGCCAGAATCACATTCAGACCTTACTTGCATACACAATCAACGCAATAAAAATCATAATAAAGGGTACTATCGCAACATCAAAGTGGAAAACTCTCTTTACAAATACTGATCTACCGCTCTCACGTATCTTTGATTCTCCGCTTGTTATTCTTTTCCAGCTGGTTAAAGTCGAGTATCTATGTAACATCCTGCTCTAGCACCAGTCGACGAAGACTCCTTAAATTAGAATCGCTTGGTAACATTCTTAGCTCTATTGTTGTCGTCAAAACCGCTTTCCCGCAATTTCCTCCCTCAAGTCGGTCCGTGATTATGCCTGTTACCCGCCCAGTGCGACATAAACGAAGGGCTTTGTTAAACTCAAAAATTCTGACTGCATACACAGCTGGATTGACAAAAGAGTGGAATAACTTAAACAATTCACCATCAAATAAAAATTCTATGGTATTGATCCGATCTCAACTACATATTTAAAAAAAATTACAAATGATTAAAGGAAGCCAGCATATTAACGTCAAACCGGAAACAAACAGCAAAGTATTTGTGAAACTTTTACTTCGAGGGTCTCTGTTTTGCTGTTGTGGACCGACTCTTCCGTTTTGAAATTTTCCCCAAATACCAACGTTGCACTGAAATACATATGATCATTGTGAGACTAAAAAAGAAGATGACTGATGCATACATATAATGTTTAACTGAGGCTAGATACTTTAACTAGATATATATAGTGGATACTAAAGTTGCTAATATCCAAAATGTAAAAATGATGATGCAGTACGTGCTCATCGATAATTTCCTGTAACTAAACGGCCGGTATGTTGCGTAGAATCTTTCTCAGGATATAAAGGCTGCAGAGAGTAACGAAGCATAAGTGAAAAGGGTGTCAACGGATTTGAAAAATATCTCAAGAGACGAGGAAATGTATCTTACAGTCCAAAGCCCGGGATTGTTCAGTCCAAGATACTAGATGAAAATGGGCAGACTAAAAGCTCTTAGCATCAAATCCGCAAACGCCATGTAGATGACTAGAATTAAACCTTTTTTATGCAATGTCCTCTTGACTGCGCAGAGAACAAGAACGAGCGAGTTTCCTGAGACAATTAACAGATGCCAACACAGAAGCGCTGCACAAAGCGATGCCCTCTGCCTTAGAAGACATTATTCTTGATGATCCAGACGTATTTGTCAGACTTGTGTAAAAAACGAAAAATGAAAGCAAGTGGTATTTCAAAGACGAAGATCGCAAAGTTTTATTAACGAAGGAGAATGATAACGCTTTACGTGAGTGTTCCTCACTAACAGCTAAGTAATTTACACAATAACAGTAGTATGTATGTCGGTTCCTTTTCCTTTATTTCATTGTTATCGGTGGAAGTTTACTTCAGTCTATTGAAAGGAAACATTGTAACCATATTTTATAGTTTAAGGTATCTACATCTGTTTCGTTATTATTTGGTTACGCAAGAGTGATAAAGGAAATGTGTGTGTTTTAGGCCAGTTTTTACATGAAAAAAGTGCCGAATGCTTGAGTAAGTGAAAGAGAGAAAAAGAATAATTCACAGATCCGATTGATATCGAAAAATTGTGTCGAATTATCCAGTGATAATATGCATCAGAAATATCCACATTCGCAATTATGTGTATCGTATCAAAACTCAATTGTTTTTGGCCGCTCTCATACCATTAGCTTAAGTAACGTATGTCTGGTATGGTTAATTGGTATTATTCCGCGGGTAAAATAAGTTTGTCTAGTTCGGTTCATTTGTATCGCTGATGTCATGAATAAGTCATTTAAATTGTAAGGTGTCACTTACTGTTGAAAACTCTCGAGAAGAGTTTGCAAACCAGCTTTCCAAAGACAATGGTTGAAGTTCATTTGCCGTGTTGCTCTCGCTTTGCTCTGATAAGATTCTTATTGAAAAGTGTTTCAAATATGACAGAGGACTTTGTATAAACATCAGTTTACTAAACCAATTTTTCGTTGCATTTCTTCGTCTTCCCGTTTGTGCGGTTTTGTTGCTGGTGGCTATCTTCTTTGATTAAAGTTTGGTCTCCTTATCCTCCTGTTCAAGAAGCCCCTGAAAATGACTGGCAGCGGTTTGTAACATTCTTGGCTCTGTCACTTGTCTTCCTTTTCTAGTTCGTTCCAGTTTCATGGCTGCATTTCTCTCTTGCCGCAGCTTAATTGAACTAAGCGCTTGTTTAAATTCAGGGATTCTTAGTACATAGATAACTGGATTTACAAAAGAATTGGAATAATTTAGAATGTTTACCATTAAGTAAAACCTCAACGATATTGCATCGTCATATAAAACCATTAAAATGGTCATGACAAGGAAAGGAAGCCAACATATTAAAGTTAGAGTAGATACAAACACTAAGGTTTTTGTAAAACGTTTTCTTTGCGAGTCTCTGTTTTTTTGTTGTGAAGCGGCACTTGCGTGTTGGAATTGTCTCCATATACCGACGTTACAAACGCATATGATGATTATTAGAGTTAGAGTAAAGGGAACTGCCACGTAAATTGCATATTCTACTGATTGTAGCTCTTTTAACACGATCAGTAATGTTGCCACTAAGACAGCCAGTATCCATAGCATGAAAATGGTGATGCTGTATGTATTCGTTGACAATGTTCGGTGTTTAAGCGGCTGATACGTGGCGTAAAATCTCTCACAGGATATAAAGGTTGCAGAAAGCAAAGAGGCGAACACAAACAGGGTGTCGGCGATTAAGTGGAAAAACGTGGCGGCCTTGTAATCAAAAACATAATTGAATGTCCAAAGCGGATAGAACGTGGCTCCTGCAATGTATGTGTAAATAGGAAGAGTCAATCCTCCAAGCATCAAATCTGCAAACGTCATGTTGATGATAAGAAAGAAACTTTTCTTCCTAAGTGCTTTGGTATGGGCACAGAGGACAAGAGAAAGCAAGTTTCCCGCGACGATCAGAACAGACGTCAAAAAGAAGGCGCTGCAAAACACGATACCTTCTGCCTTGGAAAACGAAGTGTTGCTCATTTTCATGGCGTAAGAAAAAAAGTTATGCAGAGGTCTGCAATCAACGGAATTTTAAAAAAGAAAGCGAGGTGATCCAAAGAAAACGAGCGCAGGTCTGCCAACACTGAGTACTAACGTCGTAAGTGGCAGTACATTTTCTGAAGCTGTAAAGATAAGCACTGTGCAGGTGACAAGATGTCACAATTTCATTGGTGGAGATAACCTGATGCTAACTTAAAGTCAAATATGGAACTGAAAGGCGTAGTTGTTATTCTGTATTTCACGGAAAATTTGATCGCTTTTAATTGAAATTTGCTGCCTTCATATTCCAAATTCATTATACTTCTTCTCACATTAATTAATAGTCGGACAAAAAAAAAATTCATTCTAAAGAAATGTTTTATATACGACTCATATATCTGACGGTCTGTCGCTTTAAAGTCGAATGATGCTCAATGAAACAGTTGATCCATTTTATCTCCTCATAGTTCACCAATAAAAACTGAGCACTTCTCAATATTGACTTTATACAATATCTTGATTCATCCTTATCCACCTTCTACAAGTAACACAAGGTGGAGTGTTGTGAGTCCGGTTCTTGTAAACTGATTGGTCAGTTGAACCATTATGCTATTGGCTATAATACTCAACTGGTGTAAATGAATAAAGGGGGTAAGTCTGTAAAGAAACTGTGGTGCTGCGTCGGATGGGAGAGTGTAACAGGATAATTTAGTATTTTAAACTGAATTGATAACGTAAATTGGCCGCCGTTAAGAGTTTAAAAGCTAACGTTTCGAGCATTAGCCCTTCGTCCGAACGAATGTGAGTCAAGAGAATGTAAATCGGTCGTGTTTGTTTAGTTTCGATCGGTCGGTAACATTAGGGCGTTACGTTTGGTTCTTATGTGGTGTAAATTTCGTGACTGAATAAGTTGTTGTATATGCTGCCGGTGGTTATTGACACCTGTTGGAGAGTGTCTGTTTTAAGTAAGTATACCTTAGCTTTTCATAGTCATTCGTTGACAAGAGTTGGTGCTGTAGGTTAGGCAATGCGCAGTGTCCCAGTCAATAGCGTGGTTTGCAAGTAGACGATGCTCAGCTCTTCTACCAGGAAGTATTCTGTTATTTAGCTTCAACGCTGATTAAGTTCTCTTGTCCCAGCTGATTAAAGTTTAGTATCCATAGCTTCTTGTTCAAATGCTTCTTGAAGGCGAATAGCAGTGTTTCGTACTATATCTCGCTCTGCCTTCGAAAAAAACTGTAAGAGCACAATTCCCTGTTTCAGGTCGTTTAGTGTTCGCGGCTTTTTCCCTCCTAGTGCAGCGCATGATAAGCGCGCGTTTTAAACTCAGAAATTCTAAATTCATACGCAACTGGATTGACAAAAGAGTTCGAGAAATTAGGAACATCAACAACATTAGAAAACTTAGGCGGTATTGGAAACTCACGCAAATGTCTTAAAATGTCCATAATAATTAAAGGAAACCAACATAGTAAAGCCAAAGTAAACAGAAAGAGTACAGTCTTTGTGAAGCGTTTGGCCTGTGAGGTTCTGTTTCGCTGCTGTGAAGCGCGCCCTCCATGTTGAAATAGTCTCCAGATACCGATGTTGCAAACACAGACTTAGAGAAAAGGGAACTGCTACATACGTAGCAGATTTAACTGAGCTTGAAAAAGTAAAAACATTAATCTTGCAGTGAACAAGACGTCGAGCGTCCACAATATGGAGATGCAGATGTAATAATCCCATGTTGACAGTGTTCAGTGCTTAGACGGAAAATAAATTGCGCAAGATCTTTCGCAGGATATAAAGGGCTGCAGATAGCAGAGCGAGTTGAAAAATAGTATCCACGCCGATGAAGAATATGTCAAAGGACAAATGATGAAAAACGTAGATTTTGTCCAAAGTTGATAGTGAACTCCGACATGGTTAAGACAAAAAGGTAGAGAGTAGCCTTCCAACATCAAATCAGCAAACGCCATATTCATAACTAGAAAGAAACTTTTTTTTTTCGAAGAACTTTGGTACGCGCAAAGAGGACAATAGTGAGCAAGTTTCCCGCGACGATCAGAACAGACGATAAAACGAGGGCGCTGCAAAGTGCGATGCTTTCTGTCTTGGAGGAAAAACTTCTTTTAGACTCCGACAAATTCTTCTGGCTTGTATTTACTGTATGGCTAATTTTCAGGTTGTAACTTAGTGAGAAAATTATTTTGTTGTCCTTCAAAGGACGCAATGTTTTAAAGAGAAATTAAGAGCAGACGAAATTGCAGGACTGAACGCTATCTTTAACGACCGCTATCTTTGATTCTAATGAATGTGAGAGTATAGTGTGTGGATGAAACATCTTCGCCTTTTTTTTGAACATTTTTGCTCCGTGCGATTTTAGGACATTTCTGTTCGTTTCAAGGTCATGAAATGAGAGCCATATATTTTCCGGCCCGACCTAACTCAGTCAATAAGCAATTTATCATACGACTACTGTCTAAGTTTTGAAAAATTCGAAAAGTTTGTTTTCACTTAAATAGGACGCGATAGACTGGCGCGCGCGGGAAAACCACCCAAAAAAATCTTTTCCTTTATCGTCGAATATGATAAAAAATAAGAACGAGCCCCAACAGCAAGGTAAAAACCCCAGTCTGACACATTCGAAGAACATGCAGGACCTGCCAGTCTGCCTACACTACACAACAGACGTTTAAACCAGCCTTTACTTTCACCCTAATTCTAAGTTGGAATTTGATGACGATCGTCCCTGATGCACTTCTTTTGGTTCTTATGGTTCGTTTTATTTTCCAATTTGTGCTTTTAAATCATCGAGATTTTGCCCCGTCAAAGCATGAACAGAAGAAAGGAGAAAAACATCAGCAGAAAGATCAATTGATAAGCTAAAGAAATGACACACGATGTTGGTTAATCGAGTTCAATTTCTGGTTGAGCCTTGAGCCTCAAACGTGTCATGAGGGTTTTTTCCAATAAAGACTGAGGAAGGAAATTCACCCCACCCATCATCGATGACAAGCAAGTCAAATTTTTAGTGATACAGGTACACTGTTTACTCAGAAGAAGAAATCTGATAGGTATCTTACAAGGAAGTAAGATTTATGGAAAAGTGATTCTCGTATTCAGAAGCGTCCCTTTACTTCGATTAAAGTCAAAGAAACCCTAATGACTTTGTTTAGGGAAGCCAAGGAACTGAAAAACATTAATTAGGAGAAAAGTATCGTTTAGTTATGGAACTTTTTGAAAGAAAAATTTCGACAAAGAGGGGCATACTTCGTCGGCGAACTGAACGAGATGAAAGGAACTTTTAAATGATATTAATAATGATGATCCACCAAAGATAGCTACATCGAAAGGTGCACGTAAAATTGTTCTCGCTCGATTTATCTATCATATTCATGCACTCATGGCCAGGCAGAAAAATACGAATTCGAAGGTAAGGTCTCGTTTTTTAATTTGAATCTAATTCTATTTGTGATCGAAGGAACTCAAGAACATATGAAAATGTCGTGTGCATGTTCAGAGTTTATTGTATTTCACTTTTTATTAATTGAGTTCCGGCTTTTATGTTCCCTCAACCATTTTTTATAAAAGGACAGCTGAAAATTCCAAGTGACCACAGAAAGCTCCAAATTTACTTTGTTTAACAAGCTGGAACAAACAAAATCACTTCTACTTCATATTTGTACATTCAAAAGATAAGGGAGATGGATTAATTGAAAGGCAGTATCGACTGGCAGCGAAATTTCCGAAAATTCGATGCCAATTCTTAAGATGGATAAATGCATGCTATTATTATTGAGTAACGTATCAACGAAATTGTCTCTTGCCTGGTCTGCAGTTAACATTCGTGTGAAAAGCCATCGGTTTTTACAACCCACAAGTGGTAGAAGCCGGCAAGGCAGGATTCGTGGACTCGTCGTCGTAAGGTCAACAATCACTCAATTAAAAGTTGCTTCCACTCCTCGTTTTAATGATTAATGATTTTTCATTTTCTCTGTGAATTAAAATCCACACCAGCCTCCAGTCTCAGAGGATCAAAACTTTGGAGGCTACAATTTTCAGCTTTGAAAGACAAAGAAAGCATGGATGATAACCAATAAATAAAAGAACATACAGAGTAAATAAGCTTGGTACCGGGACTATTGTCAGTAACCATTTTCAAAAAATGAAGACAAATAAGAATAAAGACTTGAAGTTTACAATATCCAATTTATGTTAGTCTTTTCCTGTTCTTTTGAAAAGTATCAAGTGCCTTTTTTCTTTAGTTGAACGATTTGACTAATTAAAAGAGGTCTGTGACTCAAGGCGTTGACAATGGTGTCAATAAAGGTGATTCGCTTGCCACGGGATACTACAAATTAATTGAATTTTGCTCTCAAGCTGTGCTGAGATTTATACACAAAGATTTCTTGTTTACTGAGGTGATACTAGAGAAAAAAAACACTATTTTGAGGAAAATGTTTCCCAAAGAGCCTATGTGAGACGGTATCAGCGACAAAAAACTAACCCACCCGAGTACAAATTTAACATGTTATCTTTGATAAAAATAAAATGTTGTATAATTGCAAATAAGGGAAAAGTTCTTAGTGTTTATCGTCTTGAGGTAAATTTAGCATCTTGTATCATGAAATTCTCTAAACACAACTAAAACAGATGATTTGACCGAAAGTGAAAGAAAGTGAAGCCGGTTTTAAAATCAGAGAATATTCACTTTCAAATGCAGGCAAAAATTCCAAAAGGAGCACATTGCAAGGATAAATCCTTTTTATTTCCAAATGAGCTCATTGCAGATTCAGAAACAAACAAAGAGTTGGTCGAAATTTAGAAAACAATCTGCATTCTAATTCTTAAAACTTAATTCAAGTGGTTTTGGAAATAAACATTTCTGGCCGAACAGAAATTACTACATCCCGTTTGCTCTATTTCTTTTCTTCATCATTTACTCGTTAAATTTAAAAAGTTCGGTGAGCTATTTTCCTCCGCTGGAAATCTGGGGGAGTTTCTTTGAAAACCTCACTAATTTATATAATAATTTTATTCATAACAAGTCGCTCCCTATCTCGGCAGGGATCAACAGATTTCATTTATTAAGTTAGTCTTAAAATAAAAGTTGAAATTCGTATTGCATAAAATGCATGGGAAAATTGAAAATACTTCTACTCTGTTTAAAAATATGTTGATTCGAATAGTTCTTTATCCCTATTTCTGTGGTCATGCATACTGACAAAAAATGATTAACCAGAGATAGGAAGTTCATCATTAGAATGTAAAGTAACCGAAGCTAAAAATTGTGAGGTTTTGGATGTTTACTCTGCAATCTTAACTTGGCCCTGGAGCAATTCTGTTCGCATTCACATTCTGGCATTGAATTAACGCTCTAAATGTGTCTCGAAATTCAGAATTCATAGATGCATAAATAACAGGATTCAGTGCTGAGTTTAGCGTAGCGAAAATTACTCCTCCCGCGTAAATATACGAGTTCACAGCATTTTTCATGGCGATGTCAACAATCATGATAATATACAGAGGAGCCCACGAAATTATGAACGCGCCAAGAACGAGCGCTACCATTTTAGCAGCCTTCATCTCCTTAATCATATTTAGTTTGAGTTCGGTTTGGTTGCGAAGAACGCTGTTAATAGCTGCTGCAATCCTTACTTCGTGAAGGTAAGCAGTCTGAAAGATTTTGAGATACGCTACTAGTACGAAGATGGAAGGAAGAAATCCTACGACACAAACTGTAATGATGTAACCAGGCGCAAGATTCAGTGGAACTTGACAAAAAAGCCCCGAGCCTGGCTTAGGTTTCACAACAGTACGCCAACCCATGAAAGGTATAAATCCAAAAACTGTCGAAAAAATCCATACAAAGGCGATGATTGGTACTATAACCCTTTTCGTCATAATTGATTTGTAGCGTAAAGGAACCACCACGGCCAAGAAGCGATCGAAGGTCACTGCACCGAGATTTGCCACCGAGTTAAACATAAGCATTATGGCTACAGAGATAGTAACATGACAGTAATCCAACCCGTTTTGTACAGCAGGGCCTAGAGTGTTTGAGACCACAATAAGTGGCATTAACACCAGACCTATGATGAGATCACAAACCGCGAGACTTGTGATGAACGCGCTTGTCTTACTCTGAAGTCTTCTGTTGGAAATAACTGAAGCAATCACCAGAGAATTTCCGGCTACAATTATAGCGGCCAGAATTAAAACCACGGAGCAAAGGAGTATCACATGTAATTCCGCTTTCTTTTCGTCCCAAGACTTGTGGTTATGTTCTGTATCGTTGCCCATAGTATTATCCTGTGTCAAATTTCATGGACTGTTGCTTCAGGTTCTGTACTTTGCGCTGTAAGTTTGATTTGTTGAAAGAACCGCGTATATTCAAATTAGGGCCTCTGTGTGGTAGAAGTGCGTTTAAATGTGATCCGACAGCTGGGTAAATACAACACTCTTATCTCCTGAGAGTCTTTCTCACTTTTGCATCTGTCAGGGTGTCGGCTGGAGTTTTCGTAGTCAACTGAACATAATTTCTTGGACTTTTTTATGCCAATTGATGGAAAGTCCTCTTGTGAAGTTGGACGAGCCGGAGTGGATAGAATCAAATGAAATTTCCCTTTCTGTTCTTATAAAGACAAAAATGACAATTAGAGACTATTTGAGAAGTTATCAGTCACCTGTCATCCTTTTTCTTCAAGTCTTTTTTGTTCTCTTGTGTGAAACACTTTGCCGCTTCCTTTTGTGATTGACTTTTGTCAGTTCTAGAAAGACGGACGAATTCTGAACTCGGTGTAAGGTACAAGCGACATAAAATAACTCACAGAATATTTTCATCCGCGAAGAATGAATGGAAAATAAAGTGCATCATAAGAAGTGTATGCAGATCGTTAATTGCCGTTTCTTGGCCGCACGTTTATAGTGTCACTTTACGAATTGTCTCCTGTGTCGAAAAATGATTGAAATAAAAGCAGTTTGGTCGATGATTTTGTAGTATTTGCATATTGTCTTCATGTGTTCGAGTTGATCGAAAAACAAAAATTTTGTTGTGTAAAACTTTGCTTTCCAGAGATATTTAGATTTTTTTGTGACTTTGTTGTCAAATGCAAGAATTTCACCGCTGTTTTCATTATCTTGCGCGAGCTTTTTCAGGATGATATTCTTTTTAACGTAAAATTTCTGCTATTGATTTTGTTGATAACATATCAGGGTTTTAAATCCCTTATTTATGAGTCAGAACGTATATTTTGCGCAATCCATCAGCCAGTAGAAGAAGCACTTTAAATCAGAGCTTCTCATTGGCTCGAAGGAGGCTCTTATAGATTATACTTTTAGAGAATTATAGTATTTTGCATGCGAGTTCAACTGCGTCTTTAACACTTTAGATCATGCATACAAGCTTGGTTAACAACGCATTATGCGATTGCAGATCTGCCCTTGACCTCAGATACTTAAGAAGAACATTGCGTTTCACAGTTCTCACGTTTTTTGGCGTGGTTTACACACGTAGACCTTGTATAGAGTGAAAAAAAGCTACTTGTGAAATATGATATTAGAAATGTGTATAAACATACATATCCTCAACGGCGTATTCGAATCGAGTTTGATGAGCGATCTTAACGGTTTCGAGTTACGCAGTCTCTCAACCACGCTGATTTAAAATAGAGATCTAGTTCTTTCTTTCTTTTGGCTGAAAAATATTTTGGGATTAAAGTTCAACTCGTTGCCATCCAGCATCAAAATTAAAATTTTCACTACGTAAATCACATCATTTAAACACACGCATCTGCTTTTTTCGCCTTTTCGTTTTCTTCATAATGGGGTATATATTCAGCCAATTTAGTAGGTTTTTAGAATAAGACAGTTTCATTTTTCACGCTGATTTTAATGAAAACCCACGCGCCTTTTACTCACCTTACGGCCTCAAAATACTGTTCGTCCTGAGTTCGTTAACATAGACACGTACTGCTGCAAAACAAAGTGAAGATGTTTAATAATGTAAGTTCCTTACATAGTCATCTCAAGTTTATTTTGTATCATTTTGCAGTTCCTAATGAGGTGATTTTAATTTCAATGCAGTGTTCCAACAGTGACACTGGCAATTGTTATTTTATTCCAACAGTGAAAGGCTTAGAATTTGACAAAAAGTAAGAAAATAATTTCAGCGGAAATGAACTTCCTTCTTCCTATTTTCATTTTACCCTTAATGCAACTACCGACAAGAAATAATAATCATGCAGTTAATTTAACTGTCATAACCATGTTATTAAATACACGTTTTTAGCTCATATATGATGTCAGTACCACATTATTTTTCATTGCTCACTTGCATGGAGAATGTATGCTGCCATACATGCGCGCATCCGGCATTTGGTCGACTTGCACGCGCCAGGCTAATGCGCGTGAGAAGACACGCGTGATAATCGTCAGGGGGGAAGCTTTCTTTTTATTGTTCAATTCCATTGACAAAGCTTTAGATTGATTAGTTTGACAGAGGTTTTCTGAAGGGGACCAGGAACAACACGATTTTTACGCTATCCAAGAATTACTATTGTGGCCTCAAACTGGAAACAAGACCACGAAAGCTTACAATATCAACTATGAGCCCCAGAAAAAACAAAACAATATAGTAACAGTAGTTATTTTTAAAATAAAATTACTTGAGAGTCATTGTATTTTTCATTATCAACTTTGAAACTTAAAGGACAACGCTTTTTCACGGAATCGTTCAGTTATTTATTTCTATTTCCGGTCTAATAAATATGATTTATGTACAATCCCCAGAACACAAAAACTTATCATGCTTTACCCAAATTTCAATAAATGAAATTATTTTCACTGGACACCGACATGTGTATGTTAGCTTAGAGCTTTTTAATTTCCCCTGATTATTCATTTAAATTACAAAAACAAAAAAATTATAATGAGAATCGGCAAATTTTAAACAAGGCGACTTCTGCAAATGTGAGACATAATGTAAGGCATCTTACTTGGTGGTGGGATGATAAGTGGTGTAACTTTAAAGATTATGGTATTGTTTTCGTGACAGTTACCGGCAAAACACATTTACATTTCGTTGCTAAAAATTTAAAAACATCATGTACTAAATGTATTGCCATATCAGGACATCTGTTTCCAAAGACTATTTTTGACATAGAGAGTCTATCATTGGAAATGTTTGGTGACTTATTGAGATGGTTAGAAATTTCTGAGTTTGATAAATAATTACGCTACTAATTTATTCTTTTAACGCATTATTATCATGCAAATCGCACAGAAAGTGGTCAAGAGATATATTACACTTTTATTATTTGCATCACAAAAACTTTAGTATGAATGCTACAATTTATCTATGGAACCCTAACCCAAAGCCCTTACCCTAACCCAAACCCAGGAATTTTTCCCTTGGTTCTTGAGATAAATGAAGAGTCACTTAACAACTGGAAGTTGTAGTTACGTAACGCACACTTTAAATGTGGTGGGTGGCCCATAGTTTTGCTTACAGAATATTTAAAAGGAGAACCTCATGGCTTTTTACAGCTCGTCAGACATAGATGGTGACTGCGCGTGTATGTCCTGATCGAGGTGAGAGATACATTTGGATGGGGATTAATTAATAGATAGCTGAATTTTGAGGAAGAATTAGTTGAAACACTGAATAACAATAGCCAGACATAGCACGACACGAAACTGAATACAAAATATTTTTTACGGAGAAAAATACGTTTGCGGTATCACATTTTTCTAAACAGTTCTGGAAAAAAAAAAAAAATGAATAAATACGAAGTTAATCTGTGCATAATCTGTGGGTATAATTCATTGTACTTTTATCTCATACGTTCCGATCAACTTTGAGAACTCTACATGATTTAAAGTGAAATGCAGATCCTTACCTCAATAAAGTTCTTGCTTTTACAAGTTGCGTGCAAGTTTTGTTAGATGGTTTCATTTTGCGATTCTGATAGAATCCACATAGCCTTATGGTACTGACTTATGCAAAGCTTTCTTGCTATAAGTGGAACAGAATCTGTAGCATGCTAGCTAGGTTTGATACGAGGCAATTGAGCGAATCTTTTACGTCGTGAAATGATATTCACTTGTAATTGACATACATGTTTACTTCTACAAGACCATGACAGCATTGCTTTATCTGATTGGCTAGTTTGATTTGGAAAATTATACCTAGTCTAAGAAGGGCTAAGCCAGAAAACAGCGAAGACTACTTGTTTAATAGTTGCCTTATATTGTCTGGCGTGTGAAGCTGATGTTAATGACGTGTTCAGCCATGTAATTTTAAAAACCAAACTTCAAGGCGTGTTGTAATTAATTTTTTTCCGCAAACTTGTGAGGCATTGATTAGCATAGAGCGAAAAAGACTTTGGCTTTGAGTATCTTACAGACAAACAAGGCAGTAATGGCGCCAGTGTTACCCTAAGCTCAGAGCATTAGGATTACTTCTATATGTTAATGATATTGTTAAAGAAAGCGCTTCATATTCCCCAAAACGTACAATCTTTCTGAGAATTGAAAGAGAGTCAACAGTTTTAGAGTAAAAAATATTCGTTCATTACTCGATAAAATTTTCTTGCAAATTTTCTTCAACAAATACGTGTGACGTCATATCCCACTGGCTTTGAATTTGACGCCATATATTGATTATCAAGTGAGCGTAATGTACGATGGAAATTTTTCGTGTTCGACTTTTGCGTTGGCAAGAAAATGAAAAAATTCGCAAACATGTATCAAATTACATTTGATCACGAATTAAAGGCTGATGTCGTAGAGTTATTGACCATTTTCAACATTTACGTTCGTCAAAATCATCTGAACTAAGCAATTCAGCACATTTTTGCGATTACAATGTCGAGAATAGTGTTTACGAGTCAAAAATTGACAACTTAAAACCTTTTCAGTTGTTAAGCTTAAGTTATGCTAGAGGCATTTCGTGATAGACATCTCGCAAAAAACCACCAGACAAAAATAGAAACCCCTATACATTGTAATATCCCCTTTCCTCATTTCCTAAGATCATATTTCTGAGCTCTTTAGTTTGACTTCGTTAAAAAGTGATATGTTACTGGTAGCGTGTCATTCGACCTCAAACCAAACTAAACATGTGTTAAAGTTCACAAAGCAACCAGGTGGACAATCAGACATGGTTTGATGCTACTCTGGTTTAAATATTTAATGAATGTGACCGAGAAGTTACAATTCACAGACCCAACGTGACGACACTCCTGTCTAGTGCCTTTATGGAGGCACCAGACAGGAGTGTCGAAACGTTGGGTCCATGAATTGTAACTTCTCGGTTACATCATAGTTCGTTAAATCTTTAAAACAGAGTAGCGTCAAACCATGTCTAACCTACACATACATCACATTATCAAAACTGCTTTTGCAAATTTTGTGTCAGCAATATCATGTACCTTTTGTTGTAATGATTCGCTTGGTATATGCTCCAAATTTTCGCAGAAGTCTATTCCAAGGTTAACAACCTAGTTACTTTAGCGACATGGACAACTGGACTTACTTTTTGCCGGAGACAATGGCAGAGGAATGAACTGCTTCTATTTTTAAAACATATATAGAATCTTATCTGTGAAACAGCTGCAGCGAAGCTGTTGTTAATATGGAGATCAGAAGGGAATGAGAGACAAAACAATGATAAAAAAAGAGACAATGTGTATATGCATATTTATTAATGTAATTTTCATACTGTCTCAATTAGCTACTGGTATAAAATTATGCCGAATTTTCTGCTGAAACAAATATACCCAGAATTAAAATTGTTCTAGGTAAATAATTTTATGCAGATATGTGGTCCGAAAGGCAGTATTACTGTTGTCATGGCATGTTCACCACTAGCATAAGAAGTCTGTATCACTGGCTTTTATTCATTTCAAAGTTGGTCGCAAAGGTAATATAAATACAGCTGTTTTTTTCAGTTATTTAATGAGATATTACAAAGCATGCAGTGAAATAAGGGCACAAGAAGTTTCAATTTATTACGGGAAGCTTTTTTGAGTATTCACACATTCTAAATAAACACATTTCATTTCCTCGCTAGAACATACATTTGTTTATTACTCCCTGTAGGAAATAAAACCAATATGCAATTATGTCTGCATATAAAGAGAGGGTGAATTGAATGTGAAGGAGAGATGACTTTCAGTCCTGTGTAAGGAGATCCCTGCGCGGTGAATTTACAACATGTTTTTTTCTCGAGAAATTTTCAAGTACCTGAATTCTAAGGCCTGGTCTCTTCCCATTTTCACTTTTCTCTTCTTACGGTGTTGCCAGATGACACAAAGTAATTAAAAGGGATTTCCTTAACCTACCCCCACCCCCTCCGTCAGTTTCCTTAGCTACACTGACTAGTATCAGCAGAGGTTAGTAAGATTAGTGTTTCTACAACAATGTGATTATTGTATTGCCAACTTTCCGAATATGACCGAATTTTGAATTTTTTATATCTTGCAAACAAAATAATTAATACTCTGGATTCCTCACTTTTTTTATCGGCCGCTAAAACTGAGGAGGAAAGCTCCCGCCGTGTTGAATACAGGAAAGGAACAGTTAAGAGATTGAGCACTAGCTATTTGTGACGTGGACCCGGTATCTTAGGAAAGCGAAAGCTCGCATTCAAAGGGAAATCATGCTAGGTCGGTACGTTGTAGGTGGATGTCTGTCGCTCCCAGACGTAAAAAACGGTATTATTATTCCAACGGGAATCATGAATTCAAAAATCTTATTCAAATCGATTGAGAAAAGTTAAGAAATTAGGCCAACATTTTTTTGATATCAGTCAGAGCGCAAACTCTTTTAATCTAGCTTTAGGTTTTTCAGTGTTTCTCTAAGAGTTCTCTAACAATTGTTGGCCTTTTAAAAAAACTCAAGTGGAAATTGTAGTCAACAAAGACCCTCGGGCTGATATCAGTTGAGTTTCCTCAATTATTTGTTTGACTGAAACCTTTAATAAAGTATTCAGTGTTCTCCCTTACTTTAATGACCCTCTACACTGTTATCGTTTATATCTCTCACTCTGTTCGCCTTCTTGGAGTACATCTTAAACACTGTGATAAACAAAACTGCAATAAGTTCTAATAACTCCACAATAGTTAACACTGAAATCCCGATCCACATTCCCATCAGACCACCAATATCAGACAGAAAACTTGGCATCTGTTGGAAAATAATGATATTATTTGCATTAGATGCAGTCAAACTTACCTTCATACAAGATAAAATTAATGGATATAACGCGCAAATCAAAGGCAAATGCAAAAAATTCTCAAAACTGAAGTAAAGGCGAAGGTGATAGCCGAAAGAAAAAAAAAGAAAAGTAAAAAAAAAACAATCTTAAAAAGCATTGCCATGGCTACTGTGTCGACAACGATAGAGTAAGATATACAGTGCCTGCGATCCAAAACCCAGCAGCACGAATTACAAAAGAAGAAAAGAAAATGAGATGACAAGCGATATGGACTGATTAGTATCTTTTTCAATTAAGTGAAGTCAGCCTGTCTACTCATTCCTGCACCTGTCAGGACTCAGTTTGCAGATCCGTTTATCCGTCTCTTGACAGTTATGAGAAAGAGTTATGCCTTGTGGTGAACAAGGAGAATAATCATAAATTTGTCTACATACCGTGTAAGCTTCTTCCTCTTCAATGACTTCAAAATCAAGTTCTCCATAGTAGATCTTCAGCTTCAGAAAGTGGTCACTGCAGAAGAACATAACGACTCAGTGAGCAGAGTTTCACTTGTTAACCCAGCGTACTTAAGTTAAGCTTGTGTCCAAATTTTTTTTTAGGCCAAGCCAGAATATGTGAGCTCTCATTCCCTTGTCAAACCGGATCAATATCAGTATCTGGGCAACTGCCCACCTATCCTTCCCCTAACTCAACAACAGTCAATTGACAACAAGTTAAGGTTAATGTTGGGTTAAGGGAGGGGCAGGTGGGCAGTTGCCCAGATACTGATATTTATCCGTCAAACCAATGACTTAGGTATCGATCTCTCTTCGTCCAGTACTACTCCATGGGGACAAATCCTGATCACTTCTAACGACGAGAAATGTGTATTTACCTTGTCTCTTCTGAGTGATTGCGATTATGTTCTTCATGTGTTTTTGCAATAAGAGTGTCCTACACGTGAAAGAAAACATATTACTGACAAAAATTTCAGATGGTGTGTGAATTAAATTTAATTTGAGATGTTACAGCGTCGAAGAAAATCAACTAAAAATCCAATTCTACTTACACGATATTGTATTGACGGCCATTTTGCAAGGGATACTGTTGTCTTGAATATGTCTTCCCTGGAAAAGAAAGCAGTCAAATGATTACAGTTGGTATGCATTGACAACACGAGCATGATAAAATGCGTAGAAGTGGTAAGACCAGTGCCATATAACATTACCTGCACCTTTCTTGGCATTTGGAACAATTTCCATTGTCAAAGCTCTTGTAAACCTTGTTAATACATTTGACTGAAAATTAGAAATAGAAAGATAAATTCCATGCTAAGGTGAGTTCATCAGACGCAGCTCGCGATGTGTTGTGTTTGGCTAGAGCTTTTATTTAAGTTATTCGTTGTTTTTATATTATGACAAAATCTCTCCTTTGCAACAAGCAGTGCATGGAACCTAAGAGATACCGCATACCTATTTTTGTGTTTTCCATGTAACAAACAGACATGTTATTGTATTTCAGCTCATAGATGACACAACCACAGTTGGATGTCATCGCTTGGACCAAACAAGATATCTTGCAAGCCTGAAAACAGAACACAACTCTTTCTTGAGATATCAGTCATTGCAACACCATGGATCGAGTCTTTATAAAACCTTCTCAGATTACAAAACGTAAGCAAGATCGATTACAACGAACTTGACGGCGGACTCTGCTGTAAATCCAATGAGATTTGAAACTAATTACGTGATATAAATAAGAATCTCACAGTGGTAGTATAAGTCACATTATATCGTCCAAATATGCTTTCCTGGAATCGATCGTTTCTGCTCTCACAGCTTTTGTTACGGAATGGATCGAGTCTTTTAATCATCACCTACAAAAAAAAACCACAGCTGCAGAATTCTACCGCATATCGGCCAATAATTGCTCAGTACCTGTGAGATAACTGGAAGTGACTACCTTTTCACTGAAATATGTTCTAACCTAAGTTTTACTTCGTTGTGGATTTCATTGTTTTTTATTCGCATTTTTGTTTAGGTTTGGTAACAGTTGAAAGGATTTTGACCGCTTTATGGCAACGTTAGAATTAATTTCCTTCATCCATGGGAAAGGTAGAAAAGTTATACAAATGAATTCGTCGTCATTGGGTACTAACACCACATAGAATTTATTGATTTACCCTTGGGAATTAATACTACACTTCTCACCGCGATTTGCCTTTGAAAGCACTTCTATCCTCACTGACATACACGCTCTTGACTGAGATGTTGCGAAAAAGACATTGTAGTTCAGTATCTTACCTTACGAAGCTGAATGGCTGTAGAATATCCAGGAGACGCACTTATTCCTTGTTCATAAGGAAAAGGCATCTCTCCCTGTCCTCCAATGGAAACTCGGACGCCAGACTCTTGGGAAAGTTGACTTATATACTGATCTTGTTCAATGTCTATCTCCAGGGTCAAACCTGACAGAGAATACACATGATGTAAATCATTTCTTCGGCACTAATCCTCCTCCCACTGTTCGTCATCTTCTTTTATCAAAGAAATGAATTTACTATGAAAAGATTTTGAATTTAGATGAGGCAAAGTTCTATGTATGCATCGAGTGCAAGTAAATGAGGTATACTTCGGTACTGACCTATGCCGGTCTGTGCTGATGTCATTAGAGGTGTATATGTCCCATTCTTGTCCATTCCTTTGTTGAAGGAATAACAATTTCCATAACGTGTGTGCCAGAACTGTGTCCAGTATTTGCGCATGTCTGCATGTTTGTCCCTTAAACCAGAAACACATGTAACGAAAATTGTACCATCAAGGTTTCCGGCATAACTCGTAATGAGCCAGCTTTACCAATTCGAGGACTGGACTACAATTGTGAGATTAACAACTACTGGGTATTCGACACGGTTTTCAAGGGGACATAAACATTAGTAATGGTATATTTTGCATTAATTATTTAGAGCATAAAGGGGGTAAGTTTTCAAAGAAACTGTGGTGTTGCGTCGGTGGGAGATTATAACAGGTAATTCAGTGTTAACAACTGAGTCGAAAACGTGAATTGGCCACCGAAAAGAGTAAAAAGACTGACGTTTTGAGGGTTAGCCCTTCATCAATCTCTGTAAAGATCTGGCATAATTTGGCACTCGTTGAATTCACCCGTGAATCAGATTTAGAACCGTCACCAAAAATGTGCTGGGAGGCCGATATTTTGGACATTGATCATCATTCATAGTGGTAAGAGGCCCTCATTCAACTTACAGACATTCACGTCCATGAAACTTGCAGCTGAGTATCATGTCTTCTATTTGATGGCCATACTTCATAAGCTTCTCTTCCGGTCTATCAGCCAACTTTTGCAGAACACTTTGAATGATTTTCTCTTCCTCCGGAAGTTCAGAATAGTTAGGCACCGTATTTCCTTCACTGGAATCAAAGGATGTCTTGTTTATAGCTGATGAAGAATTTTTTTTGATGATTCCTTTAACAAAATGATGTACAACCATTTGTATTTAATGTGGAGATAGAAATCATATCTACCTCACACGGCCTTTATGTGAAACGATATGCATTATGTTTAATTAATTAATAGAAACTCACGCTCAGGATGTAACGCTGAAAACCATGGTAATAAGCTACTGTCAATTATAGTACGAGAGACGAAAAAGACAAGTGGCCAGGTTAAGCTAAATTAAAAAAGATCTATGGCATTATTTTAACATTGAGCTGAGCCTTACGTCCGTCCAATATCTGAGGAAACTCTGTTACAATGTCCACTGGAATATGTGATCGACGAATCATGTTTAAATTGCAAATGGTGACTTGGGGAAACGTGAGTTTCTAGAGAAGAAAAATTTCAGCGCATACGGTCAGTACTAATCTTATCAAATCTAAAAGGTGTCCAATGTTAGTGACGTATTGGTATTGGCTTTTAATAAATATGAAGAAGAAAAAAAAAAACAAAACGACAACAATAACAAGTAGGGGCCCAAACTAATACTAAGGCCTCTCTCTTGTTTGGTTGTCCATGCTAAGAGGTCTGAAAGGGGTTGGCGAGAGACTGCATATTTGGCGAGTGCCTCTAGGTTACGTAACAGCTCAAAATAGCGTTTCACATTACAGGGAGAGCTTAGGGACTGGGCTGAAGTAATGATATTTCCATTATGGCGGCTAGTTATGATTTTTTGTGGTACGACTACGGATGTACAAAAAAATACAGTTCATGTTTATGAGATAAGACGTAAATGGATGAAGAACTCAGTTTACAAAACAGATTCTTTGTCTCCATGAAAATAAAAATCACTTTGTTTATGAATAAACATGACATGTTTTTACCTCCTCGTGTCCAATGCTTGCTCTAACTTTTAGAGGCCTTGACATGTATTGTTTTGTTATACCACAGAGCTGCTGAAAAAAAGCTGCGACTGCGGCTGCACAAACCAAAATCCAGAACCACCTTAAAGGTCGGGAATCTGCGTTAGCCACTCGTCCATAGCCGTGTGCGGTTGTGTCACCGAAACACGCCAGCAGTTTTGCTTTTAACTTGAAAAGTAAACCATTTTTTTGACTCGGTTTGCTCGGAAGTGAGGACATTTCTGTTGTTTGGTTTTTATATCATCTCATCTAGTTCTATATCTCTAAAGATGAGAAATATCAATCTGGAACTATAAATAAATAAATAAACAACCTGAGCAGGTTAAATTTATAATGGAAAATTTTGTGACTTATTGGAAAATGTAATGTTTTAATGTCATTATTCACAGACAAAATTACGGGTTGAGTGGTAGAAAGAAATTAAACTTTTCCTATTAGCATAACAAATTAATTTAACAGGGACACACCGCATGACTTTTTTCCTCTCTTTCTCGGTGTAGATAAGGTAGAGTGTTTAACAACAGAAAAAACCTATTTTTTAGAAGGGATACTTGTTATGGTGTGTGCTGATTGTGGCGATCTCCTTCCCTCAGAAACGTTCAACTGACTGAAAGACGTTATGAGTTTTCTAATATTTCATCTAGACTTATTATTGGCTGTTCCTGTCGATCGGAAGGATCAGTTTACCGCAGTTCTATCTTTATCTGGGATTAGCCTTATATCATACCCATTAAGCTTTCGTTTAATGAATTAGATATGATACCAAGTAATTCAGGGTTGCTTTTGCATTTGGAGATAACATTTATGCACTATTCAGTTAAGGTTCTCGAAAAGATTGATATCTCTTAAGCAAATATCGAGTTCTAGCCCAACGAAACTCCGACATCTTGAGTGCTCTCAACATTCACCACATTCATATTTTAAAAGCTCGATACACGCAAGCTATGGGCATAAACAGGAGTCCATTACGTAATGGACTCCTGTCATAAAGCCAGGTATTGTTACACAGGAATAATTTGTTGCAAAAAGCGCTTTTCTATGTCGGCAAATACAAAGTACTCACATCGCACGGCAGAAAAGATTGACTTGAGAAAAATATGCTATTCTGGTCTCAGTCTTAGGATGGTAAGCTTAGCAAAGTGGATTGCGCGAACTTTAATTTGCGATTATTGGCTGGGTTTGAACTAACTAACCATGGAACTTAATTGAAGATGCGCGTCTATCGCTGTAGATACTTCAGACCAGTAACTCTTTCCCATGATTAAATTCTTATCGAGAATCACTTAAAAAATGGATTACTGCTAGGAAATAGTTGTAAATAATTTTGTTTCACTAAGCCATAAGTAGCTTTCAAGGTTTAACCAGAACATTCCTTATACATGTAATAAGGTTGAAAGAGAGAAATTTCATTATAAGGAGAGTGATATATAAGAGTTCCATAGCGATCCTTATGAAATGCAGTTCAGACAATCAACCATAAAAGTTTTCAACCGCGAATTCACTGTAATTGGTTACCCGCTTAACAAAAAGCATTTTTTGAATTATTTAAATGGATTAGTGATCAGTTTCTAACACAAGAATTACGTTCATAACTTACTGAAGTTGTGCTGTTTTGCTGCGACGCATCTACTTTTCCTTCATTCTCAGAGGTGGAAAATAGATAACACGCCAGTTTGCCAAAGAAAATTCTAGCAGCGTACGTGCAGCTGCTTTTTTGTACTTGTTTTGAGAAGTACTTGGAAATATCCTGGAGTTACTGTATATCAACTTGAACTTTACAAGTCAACGAGTTGGGGAAACCCGAACAATAATTTAAAAGATGGAAAACGCTAAAATATAGAAAAATGGCAGAGTAGAACCTAACTCGTTGTGGATATATCAGCGATTTTTAACGATGAAGTCAGTTATTCTGCAACGTCAGGTACAAACATTCACTTAAGTTTTCTCATTCGTTAATGCAGTTGATCATAAAGCTGTACATACGTACCACAATATTTTCTTAATTTTTTTTTAGAAGATGTGAGTTATCTTAAAATTTCATAAAATTGTTCTTAATAACTGTGAGCAATGTCTAAAAATTACCTGTTTAATAAGTGCTGGGCAGCAATTTTGAATTAAAGATACGTTAAAAAAATGCCCATATAAGACGAATCTGTACGTTTGGATTACAACACAACTTCAGTACTTATCGATTTTTATTCTAATGAATCCTTCCGGCAGTTTAGAAAAAATAGAATTTTGAGCAAGTTTTTTTGTTTATCTGCGGCAGAAGCTATCAATAAACGACGTAATCGATTTCATATTCGCTTGGTTAAATCATGAAGTAAATCAGTAATCTAAAAGAGTTTTCATTAATCAGAAATATTTGTAAGAATGTTCTTCAAACTTACCGATGCTAATATTCTGTTTCCTCCAAAATCAATTTAAGTGGAAAGTTGACGAGACGGGAGGGATGCAAATTAATAATTTACATCTGAAAATTTTCTTGTGAAATGTACTTGCGTGGATTATTTTTGATATGGCTGTATTCAGAGGTTCATAATCACTTTTGAGTCATGCTGCGCTCAAAAATAGACACACAGATAGTTTTGGGTTCTCAAGTCTTATTTATTCATTGAACTGTAACTAACGATGTTAATTAACAATTTTCTTTATTCCGTTGAAGTTCGAATATATCAAGCTATAGTCGTCAAATATCAGGAAATTTCGGGGTTGATATTTTACTGAAGTACGTCACATGAGCTCTTCTATGGTTGTTTTGTACTTTCTTGTTTATAGCTTATATCGACATCCCGTGGAGAACCCATATTTATTACTGGGGACAATTCGCGAAGAAATTTTATAATTCAAACGATCCACTCTGCTTAAGTTTTAAAATATTCAGGCAAGATGTCATGAAAGCAAAAAAAAACAAACAAACAAAAAAAAAGACAAAAGAAAAAAAAGAAGCTTAGTTACCATGAAACAGAGACATATAACCAACAATAACATGGTGCCTTATTTGTACAGATTTCGTCTCAATGTATCTGTATTTTAGTGTGAATTTTCTGCATTAAATTTGATTTCCTATGCGGAATTATCATTCGGCTGCACTTCAATCACATCAGTCCGTTTCTGTTTGACTTTTCTCAGGATCATAGAACACAGGGAAGCCATCAGCTCTAGAGCTTCCACACACGTCAGAGCGGAGATTCCAATCCACATTCCCATAATGCCTCCGATATCTGACAGGAATCTGGCTGACTGTTGAAGACAGCAATTTAAAACGAATAAAGTTTGGCCATCCAAGGTATTTACCAGAAAATTATATACATGGATTAAAGAAAAGCGGCTTCATCATCTCCACGTTGTCATTTAATCAAGATCATCGATTTTATCTCATCAGTTTCTGATTATATGCACACGAAAACGCACTGGCAGTATTTTTCATATATGCGAAGTGGAACACGCCCCAATCATCTCCATTTTTTCCAAAATTTTTGATTTGTGAGCTAACCAGAACAAAGTTGACTTTTTCTGGCTTTTACAAGGACAACAAAGATTTGAGTTACAGTTCCTCTATTACTTTAAGGACCTCTGTCTATTTCAAGTTGTTGACCCTTGATGCGAGTGCTTAGTTTAAAATCAAACGTCCTGAACAAATAAAAACACAAAATTTTTTCTGTTGTATACTCACTGTGTAAGCAAGCTCTTCTGCAATTACTTCATAGTTTAGTTCTCCGTAATAAATTTTCAACCTCAAGAAATTGTCACTGATAAAGAGAGATTATTGGAAAGATACCATCAGAGCAAATCTACGGTCACGTCTTATGGTGGAAGTAGCTCATTTTATTACTGCCTAAACTTTCCCCAGTCTTCCAGAGAGTAAGAGTGATGCTTCCCCACCCCTCCCCCTACTTGGTTGGAATGTCAGTTCATCTGGGGTTATCCTTAGCATTTGCAAGGGTTTCTCTGGAAGTTTGCAGGTACGCATTTACACTCCTGGATAGAGAAGGGCACTCAGGGTCAAGAGCTTCGCATCTGAATACACCATAATGACACACCTATGGCATGGTTCTTCTGACGGCCAGGCCTCCACGACTCTCACTTGCGGTCATTTTAAAGGACAGAAAAATTTTGCTGATGATCAATTTTCTCTCTATAAGATTTGCTGGTTACCTAAAAGTTTTACAAACTTAACCATACCTTAGGTCAGTGGAATAATTCTTAAGATCTTTCTCGTCTAGTGACCTCACAAGTATATTCTAAATATATTTTGTAAAAAACATAGAAAAAATACATTATTGAATGTCTATTCTAGATTACATGGTAGCATGTGTTGCCATGTTCCACGATGTTTGGTTAAGTGTAAGTCTCTGTAATTATCATGTAAATTTACTCGATATTGGAACAGAAGCCCTTCGTTGAGTTAATCATTGTGTGGAAACTCCTGTCTGCTCATGTAATTTTAACTTGGCTCTTTAATAAGCGTTATGTGTAATACCTCAAAATGCCGAGAAGGCCATTTTGAAAGAGATAATGTCGTCTTAAAGAGGTCCTCCCTTGAAAAAATAAAATAGAGGTTATCATATAAGAGATGAAAAAGAAGCTGGCGTGACCAAAGAAGAAAAGCTAAAATACATCAAAGATGAAGATCGATAGAAAAGTTTACTGAGTGGCTGACCCATTGCTCAACCTGGGGGACTGGGGCTTGGTTTCAATGATGTTTGCCTCTCGACTATTTGTCAAAGTAGCGACAACTGAACGACACTTCCATGAATCGATCAAGATCAACACTTTTTTAAACGGAGTCTGGAAAAAGAAGAAATGAACAGAAAATAGGAGTCCATGGTAACGAACTTTACGCTGGTCTTGAGTAAACTGTTTGCTGTTTAAACTGTGAGATGGACGAACTTTAGAGAGAATAATTGCATGGCATGAATAAAATGTTCTTTACTGAGCGGTTTGTTTGCCACGTTTAGCCATGATAACAATCTATTTTGGGTTTGCTTACCAGCATTTTTCTTGACAACCTTTTTCACATGCTCCTTGGTTGTATTTATCAAATGCAGAGTTAACACAAGCAACTGAAATTTAAAAAAGGATCATCGTTGTCATAGTTTGGCTCAAACCAGTAGTGCGAACATTGTAAGAGCTAGTGGTAGGGTGGCTCACCGAATGCAATTCAGTGTGTGGTAAAAATTTCCAAAACTCCTCCATTACGCTGGTTAAAATATCAATCAACTCATTCTCGATATTTACCCAACGCGTTGGTTTATTACGCTACCTGTATCCTTGTCTGAGCCATCGCAAACATTCGCGTGATGTTCTGAATATTTTAGTGCATACATTACACAACCACACATGTTGTACATCATCACAGCCAAACATGAGAACTTGCAGGTCTGCAAAAATGATAATTTTCATAAGGTCTGATTGTCTATCAAATTATAGTGTACAAAACAGATGTTAAACGGTCATTTGCCATTGAATCTCTTGGAAAATTTTAACAAATCACTCTATGAAATGTAAATCAATTTCTGTATACAATCGTATGGGTCCTTTGGCTACCTGCGACAGACAAAAGATCTATACTAGAGAATGATGAATAGGTAAAGATAAACTAAGAGAAATTTCTTTCCTTATTGGAATTGCGTAGGTTATTACAATTAGATACTCACCAAATCGCCGTATGAGACATTAAATCGACGAAATATGTTATCGTTATTGATATCTTTTCCCGGTTTACAACTTTGATTGTGAAAGGGATCCAATCTCCCGACCACTACCTGCAACCAATTTACGTTTGCCGCTGAAAAAGCTGTCTTAATGTGTGCTTAGTTGAGATTGTTATGAAATAGATGATGCCATCCGCGTCAGTGGATATCAGTAGTTTAAAGTTTAACCCTCAGTAAAATTCAAATATGGCAAAATGTTAGATTTAGATATATCAACTCTGAACGAGTTTGTCACCTAATTATGCATCTATTTGGTCATCTCTGTCCATTTATCTTCTCATCTATTTTTCTGTCTGTGTAACCCTTGGTGCACCTCAATAGACACAAAAACTGAACTATGATTCAATAGATAAGTAGATTTTGGTTGTGTTAAAGAAACTTTAAGCACCTTTCTAAGCTGAATGGCTGTAGCATAACCAGGTGGTGCACTGTGGCCCAGTTCGTGAGGAAAAGGCATGTCATTCTGTGAAGCAACGAATATTCGAACACCAGCTTCTTGAGATAACAAGTCTATATATTCATACTGCTCAATGTTGATATCTAACGTGAGACCTGCAATCAATCAATCAATCAACCAATCGATTAATTAATTAATTTCATGACGTAGAATGAGGTTGCTCCTACATCAGCCGAACCAGAGGCTCTTGTACAAAACGAATGAAACATGGGAATTGACGGAGAGTTAAAAGTCAATTCCACCAGGCGTGTTTGGTTTGGATATCGAATATGGTATATCGAATATTTAGATATGTTTGGATCATTTTATCAACTACTTACCACCTTCATGACCAGGAAGAGATGACGTCATTACTTCCGTTCTTTCATTGTGCTCGTTCGTGCCTCGGTTAAATGTATAACAGTTACCATACTTGTGATGCCAAAATTGGATCCATAAATGCTGTTTGTTGAAACTAAAAAAGTAATTATCATAGTTTGATATAAAACATTTTGCAATGAAGAGTATCTCAACGTCATATCCAAGTATTCTCGGGTGAAAGTCGTTCTATTTATATCAGTGAAAACTGACATGACTTCTGTTTAGAATGGCACGAGAAAGAGAGATCAAGAATGACTTTAAAATAGCTTTTTCTCTGCATTTTGTGGCTATTCCTTATATCATTGAGGTTTTCTTAAAACCCATACGTTGTCAAATACTCGTAAAAACTTGTCAAGTATTTGAATTTCGCCAACGGGACTTCAAGAGAGATCCTCAGCGAGATTGATTGACAATCCCGAAAAGTACCTGATGATTCTCTTGGTCTAAACGAAACGCCGCGTTACATCGGTCTCGAACTATCTTAACATTAACATAAATGTCCCAGTGATGGAGAATAAGCTACCGAGAGACCAGCTAAGAAAGGGCTGTTACCAGTCTGCAAAATAGGTATAGCTAACCTAAAAAGTAAATGGCAGCCTACCTTGGCCTCTGGTTACTTACAGGCATTCCATAGCATTGAACCAGCAGGCGAGTATCATGTCTTCCAGTTGATGTCCTAACTGTTCCAGCTCGGCCTCTGGATACTCTGCCAGTCGTTGGTGAGTCTTTTCCACTACTTGTACAAAAAGTGGAAGATCACCTAGATTCTTTACCGCTGGAAAATCATTTTGATCGGGTTGTGATGGTGTGGCAGTAATGTTGCGCGTTTCAGCTAGATTTCAAAATATAAAATTGTATCATTATCATTATCAAATCACATGTGCTACAAATGAGAAATAAAATGGAATTTTCTTACTTTCTCCAATGTCAAAATTGAGAATTTCTGGAAATTCGTCAATAATTTGCTGCGGTAGTTTTGACTTCCGGATCTTATTGAGGTTGCAGATAGTAACTTGAGGAAATTCCAATTTCTATAAAAACGTAGAAAGGTCAATTAATAATCACCTAACGAAATATTGATTATTCTATAACTTCTAATGTAAAAAATGCTCTAGTGTTTCCATTTATGACCACTTCCCGCCAGGGAGTCAGCTATTTCATTTTAGGCAACAGCTGTATTGTTTTTATTAAATTCTACCACTGGGAATTTTGATAATTTGATGGCACGTTACACCGTACTCGTATGTCCATCATTAATGTTATAATTGTGCATTAATGTGGTAAAAAGTAGGGTTTTCCGTTTTCAATCTTAATTCCCATTTTGAAATCATTTCCATAGACCTCCTGTATTTTGCAAGCTTCAAAGTGGAAACAGGAGTCAAAACCAAAGAATGCACCCTGATGCTAAATCAACTTTCTATTTAGTTTTTTGTCTGAACTGGCCCAGGAGTTCAAGGTCGGTACATGTCTTGGTTCTGTGCCAAACGCGTGTTCAAAGGAAAAATAGCAACCACACAAACCAAGGTTTTTGTTAAGAACAATATGCTACAGGGACTATGACTCGTTCGTTTGCTTGTGTAAAAAATTTTGGACACCTGTCAACATTCGGTGGTCTGCTGGATCATTGCATATGATATATAATTCCAGTGTTTTTCTAATTCGGAGGCTTTTAGGATATATCGGAATCATTATACTAGAGGTTCAAAACTATAAATAAGAAATATAGATATCAATGCGCATTTCGAGTGAGGATTTCAATGCCGGTTAAAGAAAAGTTTGTCACTCAGCTCACCTGTTCATGTGCGATGCTTGCCCTCGTTTTTAATGGTTTGGACAAATACTGAGATGCTAAGTCCATGAGCTGATAAGTAAACACGCCGTATGCGGCGGCACAAGCCAACAACCAGAACCATTTTCTCAATCGTGATTCACCAATGGCTGTGGCGACTCGTCCATATCCATGGGCAGTGGTGTAGCTAAAGCAGGCCAATATTCTGCTCTTAACTTTAGCTGTATTTCCCTCGTTCGAAGAATTCAACTTGTCCATTGGTAACAAAACGTTGTTCCTTTTTCGCACAAATATGAATAACAGTGATCACAAAATTCAGTATTCGTAGTATTCGCAAATTGAAAACTTGATTTTGAGAAAAACTGGCGGATCATGAGCGGTACAATGTCTAACTTAAGGTGGGTGTAAGCTGTGGCCTAGAATTATGTTAGACGTGGTAAATAATAGACGTGGTGAGGGAATACTGAAACGTTACTGCACCTCACTGGGCTGGCAAAGAAGCCAATGGAAACTGGCCAAACCACTCATCTCTCTTGGCAAACGACTTATGAGTGGACACGATGCGCCACAAAAAAAAATTTTTGTTCGTTCGTTATATCTCCTGATTCTATCTCTGTCTTTGAGTAACATTTTGTACAACATGTCAGTTCTACTACAATTTTATCATTAATCGTTAAGGAAATGAAAGAATAATTTCTGCCTCAACTGAGAACATTTTCCTCCAGATAGTGAAATCATACAGAAAAAATCTCTCTTGTATTTTATTCCTTTTGAGAAACTTTCTTTTTTGACATGTAACGAAAAGTCTGTGAAGAATTATATGGCGTCGATAGAGATTGTGACGTCACAGTCACCGCCGTTTTTTTTTTTTAAATTTATATTTACCCAAATTGCCGTCGAGCTGGAGAGCTCAGTCTTTCATGTAGTCAGAATTCAGCTGAAATCTTTCGTCCGGTACATACTATAGCTGATGAAATAAGATGAAGTTAAAAGAAAACTGGTGAGACTCTTAACACCGTAAAGAGTTTAAAAACTGACGTTTCGAGCATTAGCCTTCAGTCGGCTCTTCGTTAGTCCTTAGCTCCTACAAAGGGTTAACACTAGCTACTTCATCTTTTAAACTCTTCGCGGTGGCCAATTTAAATTACCAAACTAAGTTGACAAACCATATTATCACATGAAAAATACTTTTGCGTGGTATGTATGACGTATGTCTATCTAGGTAAATATGTTACATAACTCTATAGTCGTGTAATTAGTTCCCATGTAACTGTCAATGTAGAAAGCAAGACGTTTAAGCTAGAAACAAGTAAAACCAAAATTGCATCTTTCCTTAAAAAAAAAATAGCTTTCATTTTATAACGTATCGATGGTTGACTCCAGCAATGATTTTAGCAATTACCACGAATAGTTAGGTGATTCTCCCGTACAATATTTTATCATTTGTTTTCGAGGCAAGTTTCCAGCAAGCTATTTCCAATTTTTTTCGAAGCACCATGGCTACCGACTATTTTTTATCGTCTTTCCCATGCCAAGTATTTGTTTCCCAACGAGTTTTCATGGTGCTAGTTTTGACTTTTGCTTAAATTGCGATAACGATTTGTAATTGGATTTGACAAAAATTAATTTAGAGTTATCACTAGAATTTCGGTAATTAACCAACCAATCCAAATGAGGCATCCATATGTAGAATCACGGCATAACTTGGCTTTGTGATTCGACTACATGCATCCTTTAAAACCATTTTTACGAAATAGTGTTTTGAAAATCTGCTCTAAACACAAATGAAAGATATTGCTATGTTGTGCGATAGCGAAACTAAAGTCAAGAAAAACAAATACAAAAAATAAACATATTAACGGTGGAAAATAAGTGAAAATTCATGAATCTTCAGTAACTTTGTTTGAAAATCTAATTCACTTTTGTTATTTTAGCAGGCATGAAAAATGAATCCGACCTTACCTAGAACACTTGCAAACGTTCGTTAGTTTCCATGATAATAGCGACAAATAAAGACCCGAAGAAAATTCACACAAAAATAAAGAGCCGGTTGTATCAATAAATTATTAAATGTAAGGTAGTATCACATGCATTTTAACAATACCAGCGTTTAGGTTGATAATTGTATTTTGGACCCATGCAGTGAGAAATTAATTGAAAAGCCATATGCTGACAAAAACCTAACCACGGTAGATACTATTAAATAGGCGCAAGAAAAAGAGAGCCCTAAATCGTCCAGTATGAGGCGGAGTACAGAAGTGCCATACTGTGCAACGGTGTTGATTATTTAGTCGGAAACGTTATTTGTGCAGCAATTCTAAAAATGAACGTTTAAAGTAAGCCCGTTTCATCCAAATTACGGTGTCCAAATATATCAAATAATAACGTTTCTTTGACTTGAGCTTCCCCGATCAATGCAAGCCTTTACTTAAGCTTGACATGGCTGCTAAATGGAAAACTGATGACAACTGGCTCTTATTTCAGTGCTTTTAGGCAAAACGGAAAGCATCCCTAAAGGTTGACTTAAGCTTTAGGCGTCTTTAATTGTAAACCGAAATATTCAAAAGCTAACAGTTACCTTTCATGAATCTTTAATTGAACATAAGTTGAACTTTAACAACGTAAATCTTTTAGCATCCTTTAAGTGGTCTCTTTTTTGGCACAAAAGAAGGTTTTTAATTAATATACATTTAATTAACCTTTGAGGTGAGAATTAAACGAGTCTCGCTGTTTTGACATCTTTAATTGACGCACTAAAGATAGTCTAATTGTAATCTGAACTGTCAATAGGAAATGCATCACAAATTAGCCAGCACTTGCGTCGGACAGGAATAGCAAATTTTGTTCCATGTGCAGCAGCAAATTTGTCAAAATATTTGAATTGAAAGCAACGGGTTTTCATTTTCGCATCTCCTTTATAGAACGCATGGAGTGCGATGACAAGAAAGGATATATTTACTGCGCTCATTGTAATGACTTCGTGTCACGTTCAACTTTCGAAAGGCATGAGCGAAAACGTAACAAGTCGAACTTGACAGATACTTTCGGGTCGACTTCAAATTCCCGTGATTTGTTTCAAGAAATTTCAAGTAAAGGGAGCATCGTATAAGAAATAGTAAGTATCTTTACACAGAGGAAAGTCCTAATTGCTTTTAAAAGTTTGTGGTAATAAGAATATTCGACTGTATTTCTAAACTTCAGCTGGTTACTAAGTAAATATCCAATAATTTCATACAGTTAAGATTGCTTTTAGATTAACTATGATCTCCCTCAAAAGATTCCACTTAAGGTTCCAGCTTCCATCTTTTATGAACAAGTAGATTCTGTAGTATGCTTTCCAGTACAAGTAAGTAGTAAGTAAGTAGTATGCTTTCCAGTACAAAAGGGAACAAAATGTGACCTTGGCAAGGTATAGTCAGTTTATAATTACATTCTATTACAATAAAGTGAAATGAGGCCATTGTTTCAGTTGGAAGCCCAACACGTGGAGTTCCCAACCCTTTTACTTCATGGAATGGTCAATAAGCAACTCTCCCTAACACACTAGCAATACATCAATATTATCACAAATATATCAAAAAAACTGTATGAAAGGCATTTAGAAAAATAATATTGAGATCTTAGGGGGTGAAACCCTAAGCAAGTTAAAATATTGTTTTCTGAAATTCATCTGTGAACAGGTAGATTCATAATTACAAATGAAATATTCTTCAGATTAAAAGACTGCAACTCCAGAGAGTCTGTGTATGCATGCATTAACCTAAATATTACACAGCATCATTCAACGTTCCAAATTTCAGATTCTGTTACATGTACTTCAAAGCCTTGAAAAATAAAATGAATGAGCATTGCGACAAGGAGCCTTTAACAAAAGACTTCATACATACAGTGTATTAAAAGAACAATTATAGGAAAGAACCTAAATTGACCAGAGATTAAGACTGTCTCAAAAAAATTACTCAGAAAGTTGTCAATTGCAGTCTGTACCGAACTCCAAAAACAATACTAAACAAAATAAATTGGAACAAAATATCTAGGTTTAGAGAAATGAATGTGGTCATAACCTATCCACATCTTCCTGAGGCCTGGCAATATATGAACTTTGACCTTTGCAGCCTATGCTAGGTATTGAGATTCCACTAACTGAAACCCTGACATTCTTAATACCTTACAACAAGTATGTATGTAGAGAGAGTCTCAAACAAAAAATGACAATAAAGAGAGAGAGAGTTTGTTCTTGAAAGAGTTGAATGTCTATACCCACTTACATCTTCCTGGAGCCTGGCAATATATGGATTTTGACATTTGCAGCTTGTGCTAGGCATTGAGATTCCACTTACTTAAAAACTTGACATTTTTAAAACCTTACAACCAGTATGTATGAGAGATAACTGATTTTTGACTGATATAACATAGACAGTTACTTCTTGTGGCCCCTCTCAAGTTAAGCTCTGAAAGCTTCAGTCACCATTCAGTTCTGCTAATGCCATAATTTTTTGATGTTGTTCAGTTAAGAAGCAGATACTCTCCAACTTGGCTATAGTTGTTTTGTATTCCTTTGACTTTGAATGTCAAGTGTGCCAGAAAAAAGAGAAAAGTAAATCCCTGCTCGAATACAGACACAGTCCTCTGGCGGTTACAGCCAACAACCGAAATGGGTCTGGCCTCCAGGTTTGAGACCTATTTAACGGCTCAGTGCATGTATCAAATAAAAAAAAAAGTAGGAACCATAAAGCATAAAAATAAAAATGATACGAGCATATCATTGCCGAGGTACCAAAGGGTAAGACCGAAGTATGGGCAATCTGTACTGCACCTCTCCTCGGGACGCAAAAATAAACAAGCACTGAGAGGAGCGCACAAAACTCTCCACCCAGCTGGGATTGCCTTCTCTGGGCTGACTGCATGAGGTTTGAATCCTCACAAGGGACTCAAATTCTAATGTTTTTTCTTTCACTATCCTACACAAGATACCATTAGCTCTCTGTGATCCAACTTGTCCATTGGAAGTGAAATGTCTTCTTCTGAAACATGATCCTCAAGCTGAAAAAGAAGAGTGCTTGAAGTAAATGATGTGTGCTTATAACCCAGTGGCAGATCTAGGGGAGGGCCCCCCTCCCTTATTTTGGGTAATGAAATAAATGCAGAGGGAAGAAAAGCCAGCACAAAAATACATGTACAAAACAGTTGGTTTCGCCCAGTGACCAAAAAGCAGTCACTTGTAAGCTGTACCATGCATTAAGATTACATATTTTGAA